TTATTTGACAGAGAGATCACAGGTAGGCAGAGAGGCAGGCAGAGAAGGGGGGTAAGCAGGCTCCCCACTGAGCAGAGAGCCCGACGCGGGGCTCAATCCCAGGACCCCGAGATCACGACCTGAGCCGAAGGCAGAGGCCCAACCCACTGAGCCACTCAGGCGCCCCACAAGTTTATAGTTTGATGCTGACTCAGACACTTAAAGTTGGACGCCGACTCTTCATTTCATGCAAAATGAAGTTGTGCATTTTGATTAAATTTTAAAAATTAATTTTCAGACATGTAGGAAAAAGAATTAAGTTGAAACTTCCAAATATTTTTTCAATTTAACAACAACAGTGACAGAAATCTGTATAACTTTAAAACCTTTGGATACTCCCATTTCCTTTTCCATTTTAGTTTTCTCTAATTTTTTTTTTCTTTCTTTTTTTAAGGCCACAATAAGCCAGCTAAGGAGTGAACTTGCGAAAGGCCCCCAGGAAGTTGCTGTATATGTACAGGAACTACAAAAACTTAAAATTTCACTTAATGAATTAACACAAAGAAATCAGGTGAGAATTTAAAAACTATATATAGTGGTGAATTGATTTTATGTATCTTAAATTTTAATCTTGTGTATGTTGTATATATATTGGCATGAATATAGCATGACTTATTCTGGTTTTTAAGTGTTTAAGGACATTCACATTGTTATGAAACCAATCTCCAGAACTCTTTCATCTTGCAGAACTAAAACTCTGCACTCTTTGAACAACTCCCCATTCACCGCCGCCTTATTGTATGTAAAGGAAAAACACTCCTGTGTGTCTCCTGTACTCTCAGTACCCTACTACACCTTTACTTCTGACACCAGATGTATGTTCCTCACATCAACAGTTGTGTGACATCAGCTGGTATCATACAGTGTAACAATTCTGACACCATTTACTTGGAGATAGTATCAAATCCCACAGTTTAAGGGGTTAGTCCCACAAGACTGTTACAGCACCCCCCCCCCCCCCCCCCCGCCATAACCAATTGAAAATCCGGTTATTACCTGTACTTTGTACTAAATGACTATAAATAGGAGGCTCCCACAACCCTTACCTTAGATTTGATTAATTTTCTAGAGTGTTTCACAAAACACAGGAAAACATTTTACTTACCAGATTACTGGTTTGTTTTAAAAGATTATAATTCAAGAGCAGCCAGATGGAAGAGATCCATAGGGTAAGTTGTGTGGGAAAAGGCATGGAGCTTCTGTGCTCTCTCTGGGTGCTTTCTATGTATGTTTACCAACCTAGAATCTCTTCATACCTTAATCTTTTGAGTTTTTAAGGAGGCCTCCTTACATAGGCATGATTGATAAATTATTGGCCATTGATGATTAACTCAACCTCCAGCTCCTCTCCCCTCCCTGAGGTGGTGGTGGTGGGTGGGGGTGGGTGGGCTTGTTGATAGGGGATCCTGTTGAAAGTTCTAACCCTTTAATCCTGGTTGATTGCTGTGGCAACCAGCCTCCAATCTTAGGGTCTTTCTAAAAAATCACCTCGTAAACATAAACTCATTGGTGGTTGAAAGGGGCTTATTATGCATAAGCAAAAGACATTTTTATTGCTCTTATCACTTAGAAAATTCCAAGGGTTTTTGGAGCTCTTCCAGAAATGGTGATGAAAACCCAATGTATATTTTTTATTACAGTCATACTTTTGATGCACCAAGTTTTTGATTTGACATAATCCAGTTTATCTCTTTTTGCTTTTGGTGTCATATTTAAGAAATCATTGCCAAATCCAATCCCATGAAGCTTTTCCCCTGTATTTTCTTCTAATAGTTTTATAGTTTTAGGTCTTACGTTTTGGTCTTTGATTCATTTTGACTTAATAGCATAAGGTAAGCATTTAATTTTGTTCTTTTATATACGGATAGTTTCTTTTGCACCATTTGTTGAAAAGACTCTCCTTTCCTGTGCTCTTGGCACCCTTGTTAAAAATCATTTGACCGTGTGCGTGAGTGTTTTTTTATGGGCTCTCTGTGCTTATACCATTGGTCTGTATGTCTGTCTTTATGCCAGTTCTACACTGTTTGGACTGCTGTAGCTTTCCTTAGTTTTGGGGACAGGGTAGGTAATTGTTAGTACTTTTCTTCCATGTCTTTACTTTTTTGGTGGTGGTGGAGTAGGGAGTCATTAAACCCTTTTATTGAACAGTATGGTGAATTTGTTGGCTTTGCTTCTTAATGAGTTGAACCTTCAGAAGTTGTATGAGATAACAGATACAATTTTAACCTACAAAGTTTTAGGTTTTTTTTTGTTTTTTTTTAAGATTTTATTTATTTATTTGACAGAGAGAGATCACAAGTAGGCAGAGAGGCAGGCAGAAAGAGGAGGGGGGAGCAGGCTCCCCGCCAAGCAGAGAGCCTGATGCGGGGCTCGATTCCAGGACTCTGAGATCATGACCTGAGCTGAAGGCAGAGACTTAACCCACTGAGCCACGCAGGCGCCCCTAGGGTATATTTTGCTTGTGACATTGGTCAATAGTTCTCAAACCTCTTCCTCTCAGAAATGCTATATATTCTCAAAATTGTTATGGACCCCAAAGAGGTTTTATTTTTTTGGATTATATCTATGGGTACTAGGTATATTAGAGATTAAAACAAAATTTTTTTTTAAAGATTTTATTTATTTGACAGAGATCACAAGTAGGCAGAGAGGCAGGCAGAGAGAAGCAGGCTCCCCGCTGAGCAGAGAGCCCTATGTGGGACTCGATCCCAGGACCCTGGGATCATGACCTGAGCCGAAGGCAGAGGCTTAACCCACTGAGCCACCCAGGCACCCCTGTTTTAAAAACATTATTGAATATTAACATAAATACCATTTCTTATGGAAAATGACTATTTATTCAAAACAAAAAATAGTGGTGATAGTTTATATTTTGTAAACCTCTTTAATGTCTAGCTTAATATTAGGACAGATGGATTCTCATATGTGCTTTTACATTTCATCTGTTGTTTATGGTTGAAGGGTATGAAAAAAATTCAGACTCATACAGATCTGAGGTTGGAAAAAGGAATATCTTAACCTTTCCAGATAATTATAGCTATTTTTATTTGATTCTATAACAAGACTAGATAAGGCATAGTTTCTCAATAGTTAGTTACAACGGAGAATCTGAAACCATATCAGTGCTATTTTTATACTTGTAACTTTAAATTTATTAGTTTTTCTTGCCTTTTGAGTAGATCTTTCCTGTGCATGATTTTATAACATCATGAATTAATCATGTGGAAAATATTGGTTGTGCAGATCTTCCAAATGTTGACAGATTTCATTGTACAATATAAAAACAGTATCATTTGTCAATATCACCATCAATCTCAGAATAGACAAGTATGAGAAAGTGTCAAGCTCATGGTGATGGATACAAGTTTTCTAAAAGTCTAAGCTTCATTTGAAAGCTCGAATTTTATTATTGGAGACAAATAGTATCAGTTCTTTTCTTTTAAGTGACAGGTTCTTTTTCTACCCAAGTCTGAATAATCATAGTTTGTCTGTTTTTCTTTCTAGTAAAAATGGTATTTCATGAAAAAACAAAAAACAAAAAACCAAAAAAACAAAACTGGCTTATCTTGTAATTCAATACCATTAATGCTCTTCAGTGTGACAATTATATTATTCTTTGGTATCCAGAATTGATCTATGCATACTTCCTACTCTTTCACAAAGATTTCATTTCTCCTTGCTATTACAGATATTGCAGCTATGAACATTCACATGCAAATCTCATGCATTTGTGCAAGAATTTCTCTGTTATATACTCCCAAGTGAAATTGCTGGGTGTAGGCTACACACATGTTCAAATTTAGTAGGTTATCTCAAATAATTTTCTGAAGTATTTATACCTGTTCACCATTGTCCATTTCTCTGTCATTTTTTTTTAAGATTTTATTTGTTTGAGAGAGAGAGACAGAGATAGTGAGAGAGCAGTAGCAGAGAGGAGGGAGAAGCATGCTCTCTGCCTGAGCCGTGAGCCAGATATGGGACTCAATCCTAGCACCCAGGGATCATAACCTGAGACAAAGGCAGTCGCTTAACCCACTGAGCCACCCAGGTGCCCCTCTCTGTCAGTTCTTGATGACTTGTTCTTTTTCTCTGGCTTATGAAACATACCTGTCTACACTCCCTCCACCTTTTTTCCTCTTGTCAAGCTATAACGTAGAAAACATTTACATACAGTGTAGTTTTATCTTTGTCCCTCAGTGTGATTTTTAATTTCTTTGAGATCAGGGGTGACATTCTACTTTTTGGAAACTGACCAGGATATGTACATGATGTGGATGTTTATGATCAGTGTTATTTATTACGTAATTTTAAAACATTAAATGATTAATAAAGGGCATAATTTGACATGGATAACCTGAAATGTGTAGTTAGTTAATGAAGCACAGATTGTATATATGTACACACACACACACATTATTAGAGGAAGTATTATGGTTATTTGATGAATAATATATAGAATCAATATGATTTAGTGTGGTAAGACTGTAATATTATTGATTAGGGAATAATATAATCTTCTACTAATCTTAATAATCCTTACATAAGTGTAAGACTTCACTTTTTTTTTTTCCCAAACTGTTTTCTTGTTTAAGATTTTCTTACCAGTTAAAGTAAGCACAGACATGCGTCCTTTTCTTATCCTTGCTCTCTGCCTCTCCCACCTCTCCTCCCTCCATGTCCTTGGCAAACCATAGTTGTTGACAGTAGTGATATCCATGTGTTTTGAATTTGGAAATCTTTGCATATGGTCTTTTGAAGGCCATTACATAAAACGCCTTGTGCAATTTTTGTGGGTCATGGCAGCATCATGGTGGATAGATAATATTTTAATACCTAATGAATGGCAAAAATAATTGCTTTTGTGCTAATGTCAAAATCTTCAGCATTTGATCATGTTTTGTAATTACTGTTTTTTGAAAAATTAAAAGGGGGATATTGAAGAAACTTCCTTTTTAGCTTCTAATAAGAATAGTACTCTAAACACAATTCTGCAACTCAGTTTAATTAACTATTTTTATATAAATTCTGAGCAGATCAATTGTTTATTTAAAGCTACTAATATAGGTCATTGTAAGAGACTGAGTTATTTTTTGGATTTCACCTCTCACCCCTTTTTCATCCTTTATTACTTTTCCCTTTCCAACAGTGCTAGTGTTAAGGTGCTCACAGTCCAAAGCAAGAGCCAGATAGGCTAGCAGTTCTGTTGCTGTGTATTATCACTGTATTGCAAAGTGGCGTACTGAGGAGCAGTGTAGTACAGTGGTCAAAGTCATGTCGAAGTCCCAGCTTTGCCACGGACTGATTGTGACAGCTTCTCCCAAGTTTTTTTCCTCTTCTGCTAAGAGATACTTGCCTCTTAGGCTTAGGCCCATTTGCCTCTTAGGAGTGATATGTATCTTAAATAAATTAATAGATTTTCCTAAGTACCTCAGTCAATGTTTGTTGTTTTTGTTTTTATTTGCTAAGTGTGACACAGGGTTGAGTCAAGGTCAAGGTGGAAGTTTTCCTAACTTACTGTCTAGTAAATCAGGAAAGACTTTTGTAGAAGACATAACTTTTTAGCTTAGTTTTCAGGGATGCTAAGAAACATTTCATATGGCAGCAGGGTTAATGGCAATTCATTTTGAGAGCTAGATATGCAAAAGGCATGGGAACATGTGTGAGAGCACAAAAGAATATGAGATGTTGGAAAGCTATAGTAAGTAGTTGAGTTTGTTCTTTCTCACCAAGCTCTTTTGAAGAACAAATAAGATGAGATCCCTGAAACTACTTTGTAAGCCAGCAAGCATTAAAAAAATGCTATCTTTTTATATTCATTCTCATTACCTGGGCAAGTAACAAGTGAAAAATGGATTCTGATACAGGGAAATTGTCTCTGTAAGATAATCTGTTGAATGAACAATGGGTGAGGAAATCAAGAGGACTGGACATTTGGAAGGAAGGAATTTTGCTTACCCAAATGATAATTATGTTATGAGTTAGGCTTAACAATAATTAAAAAAAATATTTATTTTTGAGAGAGAGGGAGAAGGGGAGGGACAGAGAGAGAGGGAGGGAGAGAATCTTAAGCAGGCTCCATGCCCAGCACAGAGCTTGACACAGGGCTTCATTCCATGACCCTGAGATCATGATGTGAGCCAAAACTAACAGTTGGACCCTGAACTGACTGAGCCACTCAGGTGCCCCCTCACAATCATTTTAGAATTTAAACTTGAATAAGGTATTTTTGGGGGAGCATGAATTGACTCACTGTTTCTGAATTGTGTTGTAAAAATTTATTGGACTTGGAATCATAATACATGACTCTGCCATTTGGCCAAGTCATATCAGGTTCTTTCAGGCTTTTGCTTCTTCATCCGGAGAGTGGGATGATAATGTATTTCATATTTTGTTGTAAGAATTATTATGGAAAAGTGAAAGCACAGTTATCATTTTTTGTAGGGACTCTAACTGTCCTTAAGTCAATCTTCAAAACACCACGTATTCACCATACTATTTTTCTTCAGATTTCATGGGAAGACCATAACAAGAATGAAAATTTATAATACTAAATAAACAGCCTTCTGCATGTAGTGAGTGGATTAAGTCTTTTAAAGAGAAAGAAAGTGGTTTAGGTTCTCTTAAAGAAAATTTAATTATTTCTCATTTGTGCCATAAAGCCAGGGAAATTTTGATTCATTTTTTAGGACAAGGAAATTTTAAATAATCTGCAGTTGTTATATACCTTATTTCTTAAAGGTTGAAGCTGTCTGGGGGGTCATCTGTTTGTGAACTGATGGGGATACTTGGTCACACTCTAAGCCTGTGGAAAAGAAGACCCATTTACTCATTACTAGCCTTAAGTTTTTGCAGCGTGTTTTAAAATTGTATCCTGCCCAGTTCTTAGTATATGTGAACATGGTGGCATTCATGAAATTCAGTAACTTAGAATATTCTTTAAAAAGTTGCTGGACAGCTCTGAGTGTCTCTCTTATATATACTTAAAGCATCTTTCAGGATAGTATATTTGTGCTTGATAACCTATAATAATGTACCTTTTCTTAGACAAATGTTCAAGAACCTTTATGGCTAACTTCCCCACTTTGGCAGCTAGACTTATTACTTCCTTTGAGGTAATAGTGTTTGCTCTTCCCTGGGTGCAGCTTGTTTTTCCATTCCCTGTGTCTTTATATTTTTGTGTCTTTTTGAATGACATGGCATGATTCATGCATACATATTATTTAACTCCTCTCACCACTTTACTAAGTTCAAACTTCTTTTTAAGTCATTGTAAGCCCCACCTGACTTTGCTCTATTTTTTAAAAAAATTATACACTTAAATTTGAGAGTTTTTGTATTAATTCATTTTTGCTTGAAAAATGAATTTTGCTTCATTTTGCTCATTATGTTTTAACTTCCTCTTAGAAACTTTTTTTTTTTAATGTGTGTGTTTCATTTGGATTATAATCTGTTTAAAGACCAGAGGCTTTGATTGTCCTGTATTATCCCCTTCTAGCACTCTGCATATAAAAATTGAATATAATGTCCACAGATTAAGTCATTAGATGCTTATAATGGCTTCCTATCCTAGCTATCTTTCTTATAGAATTGAGTCAGAGTTCTGATCCATGTGTTATGTGTATGGAACAATTCACTGAAACCAGATTTTGACATTTGATTAGGCTGGTTGATCTAGATCTTTGATTGGAGGTGTCACTTTTATATTTTGTACTTGATAATATTGAGTAAAATAACAAAATATAAGGCAGGTAAGTTATTTTTAAATCACTGTTTTTACACAGGTAGAAAGAAATTCGAGTTAATCTTAAACTTATGACTCTTAAAAATGGTCTTTATCAAGAAGAGCAAAAATAAAGAATCATGAATCTGCATACTAAAGCAGTGAATAGTATTGTTATGATAAAGCTGTTATCAACTATGAAATTACAACACCCCAAATCAGAATTGCCATTGTATTTTGTTATTCAAAATAACTTTTGATGATAGAAGGTAGTTTTAGTAATTAACTCAGATGGGAGAATATAAATATGTTCTATACCCTGAAGAATCTACTAGATTTCATTGTTTCATTTTATGTCAAAATTTTGTTGGTAATTCCTAAGTTACATTTGTAGAACTTAGTGAAGCGGGCCAATAATAAAATAAGTTAGGATGTAATAATTTAATCCTTTTTGGCTAGAGTATTTTCACTGTTTTTATATTGCAATTTTGACTAATTTTGTTGATACTACTATAAAGATTGAATAATTAGAATAATTATAAATATTAGCAAAGGAAATTTTTACATTGATATTTCAGAACTTGTCTGAAAAGTTGCTGAAGAAAGAACTGGAGTTTACTCAGTTAGAGGAGAAACATAATGAAGAATGTGTGAGTAAAAAGAATATACAAGCAAGCCTTCATCAAAAAGACTTAGATTGTCAGCAGCTTCAGTCAAGATTATCTGCATCTGAAACCTCCCTGCAGAGAATACAGGCAGAACTAGGTGAAAAGGGGGAAACTACACAAAAGCTCAAAGAAGAACTATCAGAGGTGGAGACCAAATACCAGCATCTGAAGGCTGAGTTTAAACAGCTCCAACAACAGAGAGAAGAAAAAGACCAGCACGGGTTACAACTCCAAAGTGAAGTTAATCAAGTAAGAGATGTTACTTTTATTTATTATAATTCCTCCTATGGTTTCTTAGTGTGCTTGATAGTTACTTGATCATAATATAGTTCATTAAAAAATACTGTCATTTAAAAGAATTAACTCTTAATTTTCATAATTGGCAAATTTGAGTCAGATTTCAGTTCCTTTAATTTCATTTCAGTTTTCCTTAATAAGAAAGAGATGTTAGCACCTATCATATAGTATTGTTGTGAAGTGTTTATGAATTAATACCTATAAATTGCTTAGGATGGTACCTGGCAAATGGTAGGTACTCAACATATATTAGTTAATTGTAATTAATTTAAATTGTTGATCATTCTTTAGAAATTCTTTTCTCTTTTTTTTTTTTTTGGCTACTTAATTTTCCAAATATAATTATGGTTAAACCAATAATATAAAAATATCTGTATTTTAAAAGAAAAAAACAAATTAGTCATAACAACTATTTTAATAATAATATCTAACTTAAATTTAAGTTCTGTGTTCTTATTTTTTATAGGTAACATTCTAAATTGGTTGAAAAAATGGAAATTTGGGAGATATTAAATTCTTTAGTCACTTTTTTGATAATATTCAACTATTTTCACTTAAATGGTACTGACACTTTTTTTTTTTATGTTCAGTTGGCCAGCATATAGTATATCATAAGTTTTTGGCATAGTGTTCAATGATTCATTAGTTGTGTTTAATACCCAGTGCTCATCACCACATGTTCCCTCCTTAATACCCATTACCTGGTTACCCCATGGCCCCACCTCCCTCCCCTCTATAACCCTCAAGTTTGTTTTCCGGAGTCCAGAGTCTCTCATGGCTTCTCTCCCTTTCTGGTTTCTTCACATTCAGTTTTTCCTCCCTTCCCCTATGGTCCTCTGCTGTATTCCTTATGACCCTGTCCTCGTCTTCCATAGGAGTGAAACCATATGATAATTGTCTTTTTCTGCTTGACTTATTTCACTTAGCTTAATCCCCTCCAGTTCCATCCATGTCAATGCAAATGATGGGTATTCATCCTTTCTGACGGCTCAGTAATACTCCATTGTATATATGGACCCTATCTTCTTTATCTATTCAGCTGTTGAAGGACATCTCAGCTCCTTCCACAGTTTGGCTATTGTGGACATTGCTGCTATGATACTTGCTTTTATGGCATCAGTCCTTCTGTCTTCTTGGCTTGATATATTCTTCCTATTTCTCTTCTCTTTGATGAATGCAGTGATTACTTCACTTGTCACTTTTCTAGTAATCATTTTCTGACCATTGCCATTTCTCCCTCCCTGACCCCCCAGAGGTGGCTTAAGCATATATATATTTTGATTGTTTTACTTGCCACAGTATAGTATATTACCATATAACTTACATGTCTTTGTTCATAGATTCTGAACTCTTTGGGTGCAAAGACTGTGTCTTACTCATTTTTTTTTTTTAAAGATTTTATTTATTTATTTGACAGCCAGAGATCACAAGTAGGCAGAGAGGCAGGCAGAGAGAGAGGAGGGGGAGCAGGCTCCTTGCTGAGCAGAGAGCCCGATGTGGGGCTCTATCCCAGGACCCTGGGATCATGACCTGAGCCAAAGGCAGAGGCTTTAACCCACTGAGCCACCCAGGCACCCCTAATTAGTTTTTTCTTACTTGCATATTATCTACCATTCCCATTGGACTGTGAGCTCCTTAGTGTGAGAAATTTGTCATAAAATGGTTTTATTTTATACTCTGTCAGTGTCTATACTTAGTACTTTCAACAAATATTTTATTTTTTTAAAATATTTTATTTATATATTTGTCAGAGAGAGTGAGCAAGTGAGTGCAGAAGCAGAGGGAGCAGCAGGCAGAGGGAGAAGCAGGCTCCCCAACGAGCAAGGAGCTCAATGTGGGACTCAATCCCAGGACCCTGGGATCATGACCTGAGCCAAAGGCAGACGCTTAATCGACTGAGGCACCCAGGCATCCCTTTCAGCAAATATTTCTTGGAAGGATGGAAGTCAGTCTCACCTTTAACCTTTTTTTTCTAACCTTAAAGAGTGTAGGCATGAACTGGTTTTGTTTTGCTCTCCATTGTATCCTTAGCACCCCTTTTGGTATGACAAAAGTAGATAGTGGCAACTGTCAACAAAGGACTTAAAGACAAAGCAGTGTATATATATATATTTTTTTTTAATATTTTATTTTTTTATTTGACAGAGATCACAAGTAGGCAGAGAGGCAGGCAGAGAGAGAGGAGAAAGCAACCTCCCCGTGGAGCAGAGAGCCTGATGTGGGGCTCAATCCCAGAACCCTGGGATCATGACCTGAGCTAAGGCAGAGGCTTTAACCCACTGAGCCACCCAGGTGCCCCAACAGTGTATATTCTTCATTTTTGTGTTTATGAGCAGTTCTAAAATAGCCACAGATGTGTAGATAATGATACATAATGAAAAGATTGGGTGTCATCATTTTAATTTTTAAAAATTTATTTAACATACATCTTGAATAGCACAGTGGATTTAATTATTTATTTTAAAGATTTTATTTATTTGCAAGAGAAAAGAGAAAGCACAAGCAAGTGGGAGGGGCAAAGAGAGAGGGAGAAGTAGACTCCCCATTGAGCAAGGAGCCTGACTCAGGACTTGATCGCGGGCCCCCTGGATCCTGACCTGAGCCCATGGCAGACACTTAACTGATTGAGCCCCCCAGGCACCCCAGCATATTGGATTTAGAAACCAGCTGCCTGAGCTCCAGTTCTGTGGCTTACAAGCTGTATGATCTCAGGCACAGTATTTAACCTGGGCTTGTTTGCTTGTCTCTAATATGGGTAATAATGGAATCTTATTCATAAGGCTGTACATATAGTTAATATTTTGATTTAGAGTAGGGCTTGGCACTTAGTAAATATTGTTAGGAGTGTAATGAGTAAAGAATTATGTATATAGGTGTGCAAACTGAATTTACTCATATATGCCATATAGTCTAGAGTATATGGTATATATATATGGTATATGGTATAGAGAATACTCAAAATGATTGTGATTTTAGGGTAGACCATTCTATTAATAATTCCAGTGTTTACTATTTTTACTCTTGATTTAACCTCTTTTTCTTTAACATGTTTACTCTAAAATGGTATAGACATCATTGTTTAAGTAATTTTGGCCTGCTCCCAACCTTAGACACCCTTTTTTGAGATTCTTTTTTTTTTAATCAAAGATCAGGGATTTATCAGGAATTGTATAGTATTGAATGACAAAGTTATTTTTGTACACATCACTTTTTCTTACCCCTTTAGTAAATCTACAATTCAGAGCAGTAGTTCTCTTTAATTTGTTTGGTTCTCAGTTCTGTCTGCACATCAGAATCACCTGGGGAGATTAAATTTAATTTAAATTTAAAAAATTAACAGTATGAAGGTGTCACCCTTGGTCCAATTAAATCATAATCTCTGGCATAGTCCTGGGCACTGGCATATTCAAATGTTTTCCCTTTAATTATATTATGCAGTTGAATTTGAAAACTGCTGCTCTTTGAAGTGTTACTTTTTGGCAAGTGATTTCTAAGGTTTTCTGAAGCTGAACATCATCTGATTCTTGTTAGGAAAACATGGGTTTCTGGGATTTAGATAAAGTGTATTAAATCTAAACTTACATGGAAGGAGTCTGATTATATGTGCGTTGCATTAAGAGTGATATCAGGAGATTCTTCTGTATTATTTTTTGGTGTGTGTACAACTAGTGATTTGACAATTCTGTACATTACTGAATGCTTATCATAGTGAGTGTAGTCACCATTTGTCACTCTACCTTGTTATTACAGTATTATTGACCGCATTTGCTATGCTATACTTTTCATCTCTGTGACTTATTTTATAACTGGAGTTTGTGTCTCTTCATAAGCCGGAGATTCTTATCCAGCAAGTTTAAGAACTAGACATGGATGATGCCTGTTTGTAAGAGATCATGCAATTTGGGTGTTTGAAATACGAATTAACCTTGAAGGCCTCATTTGCTTTTACATATCAAGATTGTTCCTAATTATTGTAGTACGAAGGAGAAGGTTTGGGATTTACTTTGTAGAGCTAATCCACTGCGTATTAAGAAGAGGAATAAATGGGCACCTGGGTGGCTCAGTGGGTTAAGCCTCTGCCTTTGGCTCAGGTCATGGTCTCAGGGTCCAGGGATCGAGCCGCGCATTGGGCTCTCTGCTTGGCAGGGGGCCTGCTTCCCCCTCTCTCTCTGCCTGCCTTTCTGCCTACTTGGGCTCGCTCTCTCTCTGTCAAATAAATAAATAAATCTTAAAAAAAAAAAGAAGAGGAATAAAAAGAAAAATAAATTAAAAAAGGAGAAAGATGTTAGAGTGCTGGCTAAGGACAAGAATAAAATAAATGCATTCTTTTTAACTGGTACCGATTCTTGTTTTAGTTAGATGGAAACATGTTTTTTACTTTAAAAATTAACTTTGGTTTTCATTATTAAGGATAGAGTGTATTCTAATAGCCACAGATTGTTTCATAGCATAAGAAAATAGTGGGTGTCCACTTTTCTGATAGAACTTTGTTTTATCCTAGGACGCCTGGGTGGCTCAGTCAGTTAAACGTCTGCCTTCGACTTGGGTCATGATCTCAGGGTTCTGGGATAGAGGCCTGTGTTGGGCTACCGCTCAGTGGGGAGCCTGCTTCTCCCTCTGCCTGCTGATCCCCATGCTTATGCTCTTTCTCTCCGACAAATAAATAAATAAAATCTTTAAAAAAAATAAAAGAACTTTGCTTTATCCTGACCAACTATGAATTTTTATGGAAAAAAATGTAAGTGTAGTGCATATAAGTATAAATATGACACAGAGAATATAGGTTGTTAATATTTTTGCATTTAAAATGAATAGTTTTGATTGAAAGCAATTGTACAGAATGTTATTAATTTTTAATTTTGCTGAGGTACTTGCCTTTGCATGTATTATGAGACTGGTGTTTAGGAACACTCTTAGTGTGTAAACCTTGCCAAATGTCTTGCAACTTTTAAAAATATCACATAGCTCATTTTTGTTCTATATTCCCAGCACTTTTGCAGTTATTCTTCTGAAATTAATACATACTTTTTTCTTTTTTTACTGGAACTTCCCCCTCCCCCAAGAGAAACTGACTACTGTTTCTGGTAGTATTAAAGAAAATAAAGAATTTAAGAGAGTGATAGTTTTAATTTCAGGGGAAATCTCTCCTTTAGTTTTAACTGGGTAGGAATTTTAAAGTTAATGAATGAGGAACACCTAATATTTAAACAAAAATACTCTTTCTTCTCTTTTATTTAGAAATTATGTACTAATTCGAGAATTTGGGAATGCTTTGTGCTCTATTCAATACCCAAATGTAATAAGTTAATTGTGGTGGTTTGCAGTTATGAAAAAACAAAAATCACTATGAAATTAAAAAAAAAATACTGTGGAATAGGTCTGAGTGTGTACCTTGACTGTCTTCATTTTTTTCTTTTTTAATTGGACTCATGACCCTGAGATCAAGACCTGTGCTGAGATCCAGAGTCAGAAGCGTAACTGACTAAGCCACCTACCTGCCTTGAGCATCCAGATTTTTAAATTTTATTTTACTGTTTTAAGCTCCTCAAGTGATTCTGACATTCAAGTCCAAACAAGAGCCTTTGGTCCACTGTATTTTTGTCTGTATGTTTGTTTAAGACAACAAAAAGCCCCAAAACTGTGAAGTTTATTCAGTTTTATGTGATCCATCATAATTTATGTGATTAAAATTCAGCTGAATCTTAGGTTCCCCCCAAATACATGAAAATTAAGGTTTATACTTATATTGGTAAAAAAGAAAATATTGTTTAGAAAGGTAGGTCGTGGTGGTGATGAGTGTGTGTGGGTTCTCACATATGTACTACACAAACTTTTCTTTTTCTTTTTTAAAGTTACATACCAAACTTCTGGAGACAGAGCGCCAGCTAGGTGAAGCTCATGGTAGGCTAAAGGAACAGAGACAACTTTCAAGTGAAAAGTTGATGGATAAAGAACAGCAAGTGGCTGATCTACAGCTCAAACTTTCTCGTTTAGAAGAACAGGTAAGCTAACATTTCAAGTTACTTTATAATAGCAAGTTTATTGATAGATTTGAGGCATCTTAAATAGTATTATGGTCTAATTTTTTAATTGTTAAGAGCTTTAATTAGACATTTTTACTTTAAATTGTGACATTTATTTCTTCCCACTAAAAAATCCCACTTATTATTAACTATATTAGGTCATTTTGTTGTGACTGTATTCTCTAAAGTCTCAATTAAAATGTGTTGAGAAGAGTACTCTTTTAGCTTGAGGCAAGAAAGACCCTGGGGGTGAACCTTTATTAGGCTGCTGAAGGGGAGGAGTCTTCCTGCCCAGGAAGGACAACTTCCCAATAAAACAGTGAAACATGAACACAGTTGGTGAGGATCTTTAATGTCACATATTTGGTGCATATAAACTTTGAGTTTGCATTTAAAGATTTTCGCTTTTGCAACTTAAGCATAAGATTGAATGCTATGGTAATTAAAGATGCAGTTGTCAAAAATGGTAACTGTTATTTGGTTAAAGTAGAAGTTATAATTAAATTATGCCTTCCGCTAGAATTGAACAAACACTGAGAGTTAAAATCTATAACTTCATCAACTGGTTTTCTTCTAGATCTAGAATTTTAGAGATGATAACCCATTCTTTTCCAGTAAGTAAATAGGTATATTATAGAAAAAAAAAATACTGATACTGTGGTTTAGATTATTGCTACAAAAAATCTGTATGTAATCAATTCCTTGATCATACTATACAAAAAAGCAGTAATAAACTAAATGCCAACCTAGGGAAAGAATTGTGTTCTTAGGATTAGAGTCTATTCCTAAGGAATAGTTTTATAATCATGAGATTAAGATTCCATAAGGAATGAGATACTGCTTTAAAGTTGATTTTATATATTGTCTGAATTTAGGTTTTTTCTTCAGACTTGAGAGTTTTAGGAATTGAAGTAATGCCAGATTTTTTTTATTAACAACATATAATGTATTATTGGTTTCAGAGGTACAGGTCTGTGATTCATTAGTCTTATATAATACCCAGAGCTTATTACATCACATGCCCTCCTTAATGTCCATCACCCAGCTACCCCATCCCTCCACCCAACTCCCCTTCAGCAACCCTCAGTTTGTTTCCTATGATTAAGAGTCTCTTACGGTTTCCTCTCTCTCTGGTTTCTCCCTCTCTGGTTTCATCTTGTTTTATTTTTTCCTCTCTTCCCCTATCATCCTCTGTTTTGTTTCTTAAATTCCACATATCAGTGAGACCATATGATAACTGGCTTTCTCTAGATTGATTTATTTCACTTAGCATAATACCCTCTATTCCATCCATGTTGTTGCAAATGGCAAGATTTCATTTTTTTTTTTAAAGATTTTATTTATTTATTTGACACAGAGAGATCACAAGTAGACAGAGAGGCAGGCAGAGAGAGAGAGGGAAGCAGGCTCCCTGCTGAGCAGAGAGCCCGATGCGGGACTCGATCCCAGGACCCTGAGATCATGACCTGAGCCGAAGGCAGCAGCTTAACCCACTGAGCCACCCAGGCGCCCAAGATTTCATTTTTTGATAGCTGAGTAATATTCATACACACACACACACACACACACACACCCACCATATCTTCTTTATCCATTCATCTGTTGATGGACATCTGGGCTCTTTCCATAGTTTGGCTATTGTGGACATTGCTGCTATAAACCTTGGGGTGCAGGTGCCCCTTTGGATCACTACATTTGTATCTTTGGGATAAATACCCAGAAGTGCAATTGCTGGGTTGTAGAGTAGCTCTATTTCCAACTTTTTGAGGAAACTCCATACTGTTTTCCACAGTGTAATGCCAGATACTTATGAATGATAGCATTATGCCTTTAAATTGTGAGGTGACAATCTACAATTTTTTTTTAAGTTGAAGGAAAAAGTAACAAATTCCTCAGAATTGCAGCATCAATTAGATAAAACGAAGCAACAGCATCAAGAACAACAAGCTCTTCAGCAAAGCACTACAGCAAAACTTCGAGAAGCTCAGGTAAATATTAGTGTGTGAAATATTGGCCTTTTAAACAGAAATTAATCAAATCATTATTCTTTTGTTATAAAACAAGATAATGTGAAAAACTTGATTATGAAGGGCTTTGATAATTTTTAGTGTCTGGATGATCAGAAAATCTTTTCCTTTTAATTGCTGTGTTGAAATTTTCTATTTTAAAATTATCATAACTAGATTTATTATTATAAGTAGATTTGTATAAAATATTTAAATTTTATTAAATTTCTTTATTAAATTGACCTATTTAAATAAAATATATTTATTAAATTATATGTACAAAATAAATAATTTATTGCTTATTATTTTTAAAAGTACTTTATTTTAAAAACTTAAAAAATGCAAATAAAATTTCCTAATTTAGCCCAATTAAAAAGAATATTTTGAGTTTACGGTAGACATTAATAATTTTTGGTCATGTCTTTACCTACTTCAGAGCTATCATGTGACCACTGGAATTGTAGGTATAAAAAATATAAGTCGTTGGGTTACATTTATGCAGATTCTATAGTGTAGTTCATAAGATTGAAAGGAGTAAAATTTTTGTTTTGTTACAGTGAGGGGAAGAGGGTTCCCAAGTGTTTGAAATGAATTTGAAATGAAATGAATTTGACTTTGACATTCATTTATTTCTTCAATCTTTGATTAATTCATTGAATATTATTGAGCACTATATGTCAGGCACTGTGGTAAGCACTGAAAATAGATGAGTAAGACACAGTGCCTGCCTTCTAGAAAATGGCAATCTAATGATGTACACATAGAAACAATGTTGGAATTTAAAGGAGGCTGTAAGTAATACATCTCTCTTACCCCTCTGAGTTTGGAGAGTGGGGTGGGAGTTAGGTGGATAGAGATAAAAATATTGTACTCATTTACTTATCTTTTCATTTATCCAGTCAACAAATGTGTTTTAATGTCTACTCTTAGCCAAGGAAGTGATTTTGTGGCTGTGGCAGCAAATGAAATAGACAAAGCTCTCTGCTCTCATGGTTAAGTGCTATGGAGATGAAAAAGAACAGGGAGTAGGAAAGATCTGGGCGGGGGGGCGGCTGGAGGTGGGACTGCAATATTAGATAGGATTGGCAGGGAAGGCCTCTTTGAGAAGATGAAAGGCTCGAAGGAAAGGAGAGTGTGAGGTATGTGGATATCAAAGAGTGCATCAGTACATTAAAAGGTCCTGAAGCAGGAGCATGTCTAAGAAATAACAGGAAGCCAGTGGCTGGAGTGGTATGAGTGGTGAGAAGGGTAAGAGGGGCACAGAGTCATGGAGACCACAGAGAATGAGAGCATGTCAGGCTTCATAGATCATTTAAGGATTTTACTTGTGAGTGATGTGTGAAATCACTGAAGGGTTCTGAGCAAAGGAGTAACATGATCTGACTTAAAATTTCACAGGATTGCTCTGCCTGTTATATTGAGAGTACACTGTGGGGACACATGAGTATAAGCAAAGAAATTAGCTAAGAGACTACTACAGTGATCCAGATAAGAAATGATACATGGCTTAGATCAGAGTGGAAGCAGTGCAGGTAGTGAGAACTAGTTAGAGGCTATGTATGATAGCCTCTATCATATGTATGATAGCCTTTATGATAGATTGATGTGGAATGTATAGAGAGAAGTGGATGATTCCAAGAAGTTTGGCCTGGGTAGTTAGAAGGATGGAGGTCAAACAAGATGAAGACTGAGAATCCTATTGGGCTTGGCAACATGGAGGTCATTGATGATATTGATAAGAGCAACTTGGATAGAGAAGGAGGTATGAAAGCCTGATGGAAAGGGTTCAAGAGAAAATTGGAAGAGAGAGTTTGATAAAATGAATATAGATAACTCTAGGAGTTTTACTATAAAGAGTAGCAAAGAAATAGAGTAGTAAGACTGAGGTAAAGAATTTGGCATGGGTCTGCAGCCAAATGTGCTTTCTTATGTGTATCCCAGAATTAAATTTATTCATCCAGTCACAGCTGGAAATGAGTCATTCAGCTTCTTAGAGGCAGGTTGTCTCTTAGCCTGAAGGTAGAGCAAGGGGCTGAGTTGAACATGCTTCCTTATTTTAAACTTCCAGTTAGTTAAATTCTCATTCCCTGGGGAAGAAGAAGAAAAGGATGTTGAAGAGGCCAGTCAGTCTCTCCTTACAGAAATATGAAAAGTCCTTAAAACCCCTAAAAAAGAAGTGTAATCAGTGTCATTCTAGGTGTATATATATGTATATAAAATTATTATGGCATCACAAAGGGCAATTATCTAACTCAGAGTCTGGAAAAGAGCAGTCATTGGAAACTTACTAAAAGTGACAATTTGAGTTGCAAAGGATATGTAGATGTTTCTGTGTTCGTGAAGATGATTATAGTAAGTATATTCCAAGTAGAAATTAAAAGGACAAGGATACCGAAGCTGATATGAACTATACTGTTAGGTTTTGCTGGAGCTTAAAGTGTAATTTAGAGTTTAGTTAGGGAAGAGGCCAGAGCATTAGACATGAGTTAAGTTTATAGAAGGTCTTGTGTGACATTTATCTTTGAAGATAGAAAGGTATAGAAGGTCTTGAGATAGAACTCCTGTGGCCAGATTGGGTTTTTAAATAGGTCATTGCTGTGGTTTTGTGAAAGGTGGATTTCAGAGGAATATTCTGAAGCAGGAGTTCAGTTAAAAGACTAATAATATGCAGTAGTTTAGATGAAAATAATAATGCCTTAGTTCAAGCAATTGTTGAAAGGGCAAATATGATTAATACTTGGGCAGTAAAATAAGTAGGACTTAATAGTTGTAGGGAATGAGAGAGAAAGAGGATGATGTCCAGATGGATAACACTGGGTACACGGTAGATGGAGGTGTCATCAAATATGTGAGTCAGCATGAGACAAATGGACATTTCATCAGGCTGTATGATGAGTTCAGTTTTAGACATTGCTGAGGCACCTATAGGATATATTTATTTAAAGCTTAGAGGAGGAGACCAGGCTATATATATTAGCTGTGAGAAACATCACTAGATATTGGGTAAATGCAATTACTGGAATAGATGTGATCAGCCAGGGAGGGAGTGTAGTGAGGAGAACAGATAACTGCTAACATAGGACTTCTGGGAAACACTAGCACTTAATGGCATAGAATGGAGGAAGAGCAGCCCAAAGAAAGAGAATAATCATAGTAATTAAGGGGAACCTGCAGAGTAGAATCCAAAAGATTGGAGAGAGTCAAAAGTTGGGGAGTAATCAGTAACTTCAAATGTGGACATGTAGTAGGGATGCCGAGTATGATAAGTGAAAAATGTCCATTATATTAAACTGTAATTACATATTATAAATATATATTCTTAAGTATATTTTAAGGATAAATTAGTGATCTTATTAAACATAATTTCAATAAAATGATAGAGATGGCTGAGTTTTGATGAGTAAATGAATGATGGGGGAGTTGGAAAAGTCAATTTGAATTAATTTTTTAAAAAAGATCATTTATTTATTTATCTATCTATCTATCTATCTATCTATCTGACAGAGACAGAGAGAGAGGCAGTGAGAGTAGGAACACAAGCAGGGGGAGAGGGAGAGGAAGAAGCAGGCTTCCTGCTGAGCAGGGAGCCTGACTCAGGCCAGGCTGATCCCAGGACCCTAGGATCATGACCTGAGCTGGAGGCAGACGCTTAACCACTGAGCCCACCCAGATGCCCCTTGAATTACTTTTTTAGAATTTAAAAATGAATTTTATAAAGACTGGGCAGAGATGAGTGGGGCTTGTTCTGGGAATTGTTTTTGAAAACAAAAGTTGCCTGAACATGTTTATAGTCTACGACAAAGAGATTGGTAGAAAGGGAATAATTGAGGATACTGAAGGAGAGATTACAGAAATAATAAGTTACTGAAAAACTATGAGATAACAGATAAAATGGGTGGTGGTAAATTTGAACTTACCCTCCCTTGAAGAATATTCTTTGAAGCTTGAGGAAAGAAAGTATCTGTCTTTATAGATATGGGGTTGGAAAATCAAGGTGCATCATCCCAGAAGATTTGCCCCCTCCTCCCCCCCCCCTTTTTTTTTTTTGGATAAAGTTGGAGATGGCAATAGTTGAGTGAAAGGCAGGCAGATATTAAGAATTTGGAGAGAATACTGAAGCTTTTAAGTAGTTGTTGAGGCAAATATTTGAGGGTAAGAACCTTAATCAAGTGAAAGGATTGGTAAGATGCTTCTGAGTATGTGATGGAGGTTGGACTCTAGAACTCTGTAGTGGCCGTAGTCTATGAAGGTTTAGGATTTTGCTCTCACAGTGCTTAGAAATGTAGATGTGGAGTCAGCAGTTTGCAACATTGATCTAGGATTGGGCTTTTTTTTTGGTAGCTCTGTTGGGAATTTGAAGGTGAAAGGAATAGGAGAATGTTGAATAGTTGAGAGAATAGTTAAGGTTAGTTCATATCTGTATATTAGGTTCAGGAAGAGAAATGAGGCATAAGCTATATATGCTAGAAGAAAATTGAGGTCAGTGTCTGTTCGGCATTGAAGAGTAGAAATGAGGTCATGAAATTGGAAGATGGTCAGGAAGTTGTGGTCACAGGGTTGTTGGACAGTTTTTTTCCATCTGGAACAATTTCAAGTGATTATAAGATCCTACATGTGAGTGATTGAATAAATTGAGTAAGGGTCCAGGAATTAAGATGATATGAATGTTGAGGCTGTGCTCTTAATTCTTTGCATATTTTGTATTTCCCAGAAAATTGGCAGAAATTGGGATTGAGAGAAAAACTAAGTCAGGTCTCAAGTCTTCAGTGGATGAGGTAGGGAATTATAGATGATAGCAAAACAGAATAGAGGATAGAATAAATGAATAACATACTCCCCAAAGCAGCATGAAGCTTTTACATGATGGGGAGAGTTATGGGGTGAAAAACCAGGAAGGAGTCAGCCTCCCTTGCTTGCCCAGCTGAATGGTTCTTACATATCTGAGAGTGTTGAGGGGGAATCAGCATCTGTAAAGGGTGAACCAAATTTCACTTCTGACTTGGAAATAGAGTGACTATTCTGGAAAAAAGCTTAGTCCTGGAGCTGTGGTTCCAGAAGATGAGTGGGATGTGGAGAGTGGGGTCATTAGTGGCAGAAGTAGAGAATGAGATCAGATGGGTTAAGTTGCCTTTCATCATTTTGTGATTGAAACTTAAAGGAGAAACATGTTTGAAAGTGATCTCAAATAGTGCAGTATTGGTGCAAATTGTTGAGAGTACCAGGTGGTTGCTGACTCAATCTGAGCACAGTAGTTTGGGGTACTGTAAGGTTTGCCGAGGGCCTGGCTAGGGCCTGGTTTAGGGAGAAGTTCTCTCAGGCTGTGTTAGAATGATGGAGGCAGAGCCAAAGGATATGGGTTAGATAGCTCCAGAATATTAATGGGCATTGTTCTGGATGTGGGCTGATGCACCCTGCTCTGTGTAACATTAGGCCCTTGCTAAAGTAAAAGAAGAGGGATCGCTTGATGTATATCAATAGAAGAGTCCTATTGGAGTATTGAAATGAGCCTTCATGAGTATACGTGTGTTAGAGTGCAATCCTTTATTGCTCTGTTCATTCAACAAATATCTTAGAGAGCTTGGATACATCAATGAGTAAAACAGACAAAAATCCTTACCTTTGTGGAGCGTGCATTCCAGTGAGGGGGCGGAGGGAAACTGATAAACATGAAAAATAAGTAATTTACTTAGTATGTTAAAAGTTAAGTGCTATGGAAAGGTAAAAAAAAAAAACATTCAGGAGAAGGAGTATTGGGAGAGGCTGCAATTTTATTTTATATTTTAATTTTTTAAAAGATTTATTTATTTTACTAACAGAGTACTCATGAGTAGGAGGAGGGGTAGAGGGTGAAGGAAAGAGACAGACTCCCTGCTGAGGCAGATTATTAATGCTGGGCTGAGTCTCATGACCCTGAGGTCTGGTCTCAGCCAGAATCAGGAGGCCGATGCTCAACCAACTGAGCCACCCACATGCCCCTAAAGGCTGCAATTTTAAATGTAATGGTTAGGGTAGGCATGATTGAGTAGGTGACATCTGAACAAACATTTGAAGGAGAGGAAATGAGCCATGTGACTTTGTGGGAAAGGTATTCTAGACCGAAAAAACAGTGCAAAGGCCCTGTGGTGGGTGTGCCTGGTGTGATAAGGAATAAGGAGAGTCCTATGAGTCTGCAGTGGATTAAAGAAGAGGAGTAGTGGGCAGTGAGTTTCAAGTGTTAGAATAATAATGTGAATAATTGAAGGTTGTTTTTAGGAATTAAATTCTAATTTATTATCAATAATATAGGTTTGTATTATTAAATATATAGTTCTAGTTATTTAAGTTTACCATGTTAAATGTAATAAGTAGTTAAAAAATGTAAGACTAAGAATTTGAGTTACAAAATGTATTATCAATCATTTTGTTTGAAGAATGACTTTTTAAGTTCTCTATCCTTAAGTTAGTAGTTTTCACTTCTTTACAGAATGATTTAGAACAAGTATTACGTCAAATTGGTGATAAGGACCAAAAGATCCAGAACCTTGAAGCCTTATTACAGAAAAGTAAAGAAAATATTTCCTTACTAGAAAAAGAAAGAGAAGATCTTTATGCAAAAATTCAGGCTGGTGAAGGAGAGACTGCTGTTCTTAACCAATTACAAGAAAAAAACCATACCTTACAGGAGCAAGTAAGCATGTCCAACGTATTCTATTTCTAAAACTGATTTTTATCTTTCTAAATCTTACTAAGTGCTTTGTTTAAATGACTCTTCATTCTGGTTATTATTAGTACTTTTTAAATATTATGTTCTTTTGACGACTACCATCTCATTTACCTTAGAGCTGGGTTGCTGTTAGAGTAAAAGTAAGTCAGCATAATTTGACAAAGAAAATCTCAGTTCATGTCCCAGCAAAAAAACTTATTACCTGTGTGACCACAAGTAAATCATTTTACCTTGTCAGCTCATTAGAAAAGTAGAGATGTTATTAATAATGCATTCTTGCTTCATGATATTTTGTGATGTTTTGAAAAAAGAATGAGTATTTATAAACTGAATATTTATAAACTGAACATATTATAAAACATATTTATAAACTGAAAGTACTAATCAAGTTACTTGTTACTATGTATTAGTTAATATGTGGGCTTACTAGTTACTTATATTTTGGTCATGATATGTCTTTGGAATACGGAGCTAATGATAATTTTGATAAGTTGCTTATATAGAATTTATAGTTGCTTTTTTTGAAGAGAAGTCTAATAAGAGAGTTATAATTAAATGAGAAAATGGTAAAATAAAATATCAATAGGTAATGCCACTTTTCTAATTCTTTTTAAAAGAATAAATAAAAATAAATCTATGTACTTTGCTTCCTATCATGTTGGAGTAACTGATATGTCTTTAATCCTTTCACCATAAATGACTAGAACAGTAGAAAAAAAATGTGTAAAACTACTGTTTTTAGATATTGTATAACAAGCAGTGCAGGGCTTTGATTCCTGAGAGAAGAGATGCAAGGGAAGTGAACCTTTTGATCATTCCAGCTTTTGACCGGGAGACATCTTCCAGACTGAGGTGCAGGTTGGGGGAATCCAAGGAAAGCACAGTGGTCTCACTGAACTAAGGAGTGAGAAATTGAAGTTCAGAAAAGTTGAGGCACCTGATACTTGTGGAGCAGAATATCGGAGAGGGGGGGAACAGTGGAGAGAAGCAGCCCCAGAAATCTGTATACAGGATCCACTTGAGCCTTTAGCTGACTGCTAAACTTTCCATTCATGTGGTGGGGCTTCATGAGGCCAGGCAGTGAACAATCATTAGGAAGCTGCAAATGGAAAAATGATCAGGGCTGGGAGATGTTCAAATCCAGGAAGAGAATAAAGATGTGGTTCAATGCTTTGGGGACATTTAGTAGAAACCCTGGGAATGTCAGATGTTAGGATAAAGCTAAACTGGCCCTAGGGTAAAAGCTAGTGTACACCTGACCTAACAAAGCATAAAAAGAAGCCTCAAAATGATCCAGCTGGATCACAGGTTTGTTAACTGCCTGTTGGAACAAAACTAAACATTTCTGAAAGAAGACAACAAAATCAGGACTTGTTATCATAAATATAAAAAAATTACTAGACATTCAAAGAAGAAAACATGTATGACTCTTAAAATACGCTTATTAATATAAAGGAAAAACTATAATAATGGAAATAGAAGTGAAAATGATAAAGAATTAAATGGAACTTCATATGTTTATTATTCCATATATAAATATAAATATATACACACACATATATGGGCTTTATAAATTAACCAAGTAGAAAGTACAGTAGTGAACATTAAGACAAGGCAATTGAAGCTGTCCCTAATGAAGCACACAGAGAAAAAAAGCTTGGGCTAAAAAAACTCCTCAAAAAACCCAAAACCAAAAAACTCTGCTTTAGTGACTGTGGAACAGTATCATGTAATCTAGCATACATGTAATTGATGTGACAGGGTGGGGAGGAGAAAATAGTTATTGAAATAATGGCTGAAACAAGTTTCAGATTGATTAAAAATACGAATCCATAGATTCAAAAACCTCAGTGAGCTCTAAGCAAGGTACACCAAAGAAACATCAAATGAATTGGATTTCATCTAAATTGAAATGTTTGCTTTTCAAAAGGTGCCATTACAAAAATAAAAGCTGAGGCACAGACTGGGAGAAAATATTTGCAGTACATATATCTGACAATTCAGAAATATTCAGAATATATAAGGAACTCTTATTACTTAGACCAGTGATTGTCTGGGGCTACAGATGAGTGGAGGGTATGGACTGCAAAGGGGCATGAGTAAAGTTTTTGGGGTAATTGAAATGATCTCCATCTGATTGTGGCAGTGGTTAAATGAGTGTGTAATTTATCAAATCTCAAGCTGTGCAATTAAATTGGGTGAATTTTATTTCATATAAATTATAGCTCAGTAGAGGTGGTTTTAAAAATAATAGGAATCTGAATTAATTGTTGTTTTCTAATAGTTTTGAGAGATTGCTTATTTTTGGAAAGATGTGAATAAATTTTCTTGAAGAAAATATGAGATAACCTATTACAGAGCACTTTAATATTCTCATGGGACTTAAATTTTTTTCTTTTTTAGTTATTATTATATCATTTGTGATCTTCATAATTAGAGTCTTGCTTGTATGATAGGTAACTCAACTCACAGAGAAGCTGAAGAATCAGTCAGAAAGCCATAAACAGGCCCAGGAGAATTTGCACGACCAAGTGCAAGAGCAGAAGGCACATCTTAGAGCTGCACAAGACCGTGTTCTTTCCTTAGAAACTAGTGTCAGTGAATTGACTAGTCAATTAAATGAGAGCAAGGAGAAGGTTTCCCAGCTTGACATACAGGTAATATTGAATTATGCAATTTAATGTGAGTTTGTCTGAATAAAACACCTATTTTAGACCATCAAATGTTATAAATTCTGTTTCTTTCTCCTTGTGTCTCTCTGTCTCCCCCTATCCCCCACCACTCTCTCCCTTCTCTCTGCTTTGTTGATTAATGGAAAAACGGTAGGAATAGGAATTAAATAAAGGTTGTATCTAGACAGTTTATTGAGCTTTCATGTTTGCCTTTTTTTTCTTTATTTCTTCTGGCAAACCCTACCTTCTGAAACCGCTAGATTTTTTTGCTTTTCTTTTTTTCTATGAAATCCTTATTGTTATTTCTGAAGTTCAAAGTCATTTGATATTATGCCATTAGATTTCTATGTTAAATACTTTTGACTTTGATTTTTTAGATTTTACTTTAAAGGTTTGATTTAAAAAAATCAAACATTATATATTTTATATATATATTTTTAGTATATATATATTAGTATATATATATATATATATATAAAGTTATATATTTTTAGTATACATTCTTTCAGAGGCCAATATAGATGCCTGTTCAATGAATTAATGATGGGATGGTAATTAAAACAGATTTCTTTTTCCATTCTCATTGTTGGTTTCTTATCCTATACTATAGAAAGAAAGTAATCGAAATATTTCTAAACCTTGATTTTATTTTAGGAAAATAATTCTATTGAAAATAAGCAATATAGAATAGTATAACAGGGATAGTTATTAACTTGGAGGAAGAGGATACACATTTCTTCATATTCAAAATATAATTATTTGTTATATGAGTTATATGATAACCCAATATTTGGAAGTCCAATTTGAGAGAGGGAGAAGTATTTTGGTGTCATGTAGGGACATATATATCATCATGTATATCATGATAAACTTCATCATTTATCCAAACATTATTAGGAGTCTTTTCTCTTACACGTTCCTGTTTGGGGGATAATCATATACTTACTTTTCAATGTCTTAATCCATATGTTTTTTGCCAAAGGACTTAATTTTAAAAATAATTTAGTGACAAAAGCCATGTATGTTCACGAACTGGGAAATTGAGAACTATCTACAAATTAAATGACTGGTCGATTTTGCTACAGATTAAAGCGAAAACTGAATTACTGCTATCAGCAGAAGCAGCAAAAACTGCTCAGAGAGCAGATCTTCAGAATCATTTGGACACAGCCCAAAATGCATTACAAGATAAACAGCAGGTAAGTGAACCTGATGCAGTTTCATTTGATAAACTAATGTTTTGGTAGATGAATTAATTGCAAACATGTATAAAAATGATACTCAGTTTTATTAATGTCATGATCAACTTGCTTACTCCCTTTGATTTCTCCCTGAGTTCAGAGCCTACAAAAAAAGTAAACGATCAAAAGTATGTTAGCAAATGTTGAGGTTCATTAAGAATCAATTGTAAATTAAAACAGTAACAGAATATGACCTTATCGAGGTAGGATGTGTGTGTTGTAACACTGGAAGGTTTGGAGATGGTGTAGAAGAATAAGCCACCTTTATACGTTGCTGGTGATTGTATATGTTAGTTCAACCTTTTAATGGTCATAGGGAAAGCTGTTTGGCAATATATTTCAAGAACTCTGGGATTTATTTTTTAGCTCACTTTTAGTTCTTTATCCTAAGGGAATAATCATAGTTTTTAGGATGCTATTTGCATTTCTGTTAATAAAATGCAAAAAAGTTTAGTAGCAATCCAAGAATCTAAAAAGGACATTTGGATAAAAGGTGGTCTAGATTAAACAAAATGGAAATTTATGCAAATACAATATTTTAGAAAATAATACCACAATTTGATGATGCATTGTTATGTTAAAGATTATAATAAAACAGTATGTAAAGTGAGGTTCTCTTCCTATTTTAAAAGTATAAATCAAAAGATTGATATACACAGAAAAGATTAAGAGGAAACTTATCAAAACATTAATAGTGGTTATTTGTGGGTAGTGGATTTACTAGTAATTTGTATTTTGTTCTTTCAGTGCTTTTAGAATCTACAAATGAACAAGTTCATAGATGTGGTCACTGTTTTTTTTTTTTTTTTTTTTTTAAAGATTTATTTATTTATTTATTTGACAGAGAGAGAGAGAGAGATCACAACTAGACAGAGAGGCAGGTAGAGAGAGAGAGAGAGGGAAGCAGGCTCCCTGCTGAGCAGATAGCCCGATGCGGGACTCGATCCCAGGAACCTGAGATCATGACCTGAGCTGAAGGCAGCGGCTTAACCCACTGAGCCACCCAGGCGCCCCTGGTCACTGTTTTTAAATGTTATTTTTTGAAATGGCATCTTGAACATTGAAAACAATTATAATATAAAAGTGTTATTTTATAATTGGCCTATTTAATATTCTGTTGTATCTTTTGGTTCCTAAAATAACTCTTCCTAGAAAAAGTTAATGAGTGAATATGCATATAAACTTAGTATCTCATGCTGTGTACAGTCTCAGTTCAGGTCCTTTGTACTGGTAAATATAACCTCTGATTCATCATTAGACTTCTTTCCAGTCTTACTATAATAGTTTCTTAAATAAAATTAGAATTTTCAATTTTACTTTGATGAAACATTTAGGCATACAATAAAGTAAACCTTACAAAGTTTTCTTCAATTGTACTTTTCTTACAGGAGTTAAATAAGATCACTACTCAGTTGGATCAGGTCACTGCAAAGTTGCAGGATAAGCAAGAACATTGCAGTCAGCTGGAAAGTCACCTTAAAGAATATAAAGAGAAACACCTCTCTTTAGAACAAAAAAATGAAGAATTAGAAGGTCAAATTAAGGTTAGTATAAAAGATACTGAATTAACGTATATTTTCTGCTGTAGTAATGGAAACTGATAACATAGAAGGAATTGAGGATCTTAAATTTGCAAACAAGGATGAAGTTGTCATATAAAAGTTGAAATTACATGTAATTTTTCAGGTCTTAATTTTGAATTCCATCTTTAATTTTATTTCTTCATTAATGGGTGGCTTTTACAAATGGCAGTTTTAACATGTATCTTGGTTTCCTTTGTAATGTGTAACTATTTCAAAGCAACAATGAACCAGGAATCTACTCTGTAATTATAAGGAACTTACCATTCTGTTGTTGTTATGAGGCCTCTTCTGTTCCATCATTCTCATCTCCTTACTTCCTTATTCCAATATATATATATATATATATATATATATATATATATATGAATGACAGGTGTCTTCCTTCTTTAAACTTTACATTTATACCCTTTGCATTTTCTTTTTAGTTTGATAATAAATTTATTCTGTAGTAAATTGCTTCTTACTTTAATACAATTCCAAGTGAAAATGTTGATTTACCAAAGAGGTTAAATGACTAGACCTGTGAGAAGAGGATTTGACCTGAGTCCTTTGTCCTTTAGATGGGATCTACTATCAATTAAACAAATATTTCTCAAATTTATGTGTGTGTGTGTGTGTGTGTGTGTGTGCTATACCTTCACAATCAGATGAAACACTTCTGTAGACCTATTGAATATATATGTGTATATCAACACCGATACAACATGGAAAAATGTTGTATGCATACAAATCTGTTTATGGGTTTCTTTTTCTTTTTATTATGGCCAGTGATAATAATAATGACAAATTACTTTTTGTAATGTTTGAAAAGAACAGAGAGACCATTTTATTGAAAAGCATCTAATAAGAATTCTCTTTGGTATCTTTTACATTTTATTGAAAAGCATCTAATGAGAATTCTCTTTGGTATCTTTTACAAATTATTTAGAACCAGTAGTGTCTCTTGTGATTACCAGATCTTTAACATTTGGTAGTTATTTTAGGAAGTTTTCCATGTGTTTTATTTAGTTATTTGTTACAGAATTTTACAGTTACATCCAATATCCAGTGTAAGTGTTGAATAAGAGCCACAGTACCTAGATTGGTTTATAAAATACTTAGGGTACAAAATTATTACAACTATATAAGAAAATGTATTGCTCATTGATACTTAAACTTTACACTCAACAGCTTGATTTTGTAAATTTGTAAAAGTATACACAGTTATATGTATGATATGTATGTGTATGAGACAGAAACTATGCTATAAAGAACAGGAATCTTTAAACCAAGAATTTAAAGATGCAAAACCAAGTATTCAATTGACTTTATATTTAGGGTCAACAAATGTAACAAGAAGGATGACATGATAACTCCATTTTAGTTTTGAATGAATATTTACAATTACATCGGTGTTGTTCACTGCTATAAAGGATAGTATATTTTAAGTGGACCCACATGTGAACCTGTTATCTTGTCCTTTCACACTTGAATTAAAACTTTTTTTCAAGTAATAGACATAATTATTTTAAGTTTATTCTCTTTTTTAGAGTTAATTTTTAAAAGTAGATACTTACTGACTGCCTGTCATTTATAAAGCCTGTGGTAGTTCCTTTGAAAGATTCCAAAATAAATAGTTCCTTTATTCAGTAATGGCTTCAGAATGGAAAATGTTTTTTATTATAACATAAATATTTTATGGTTATTATTGTATGTTATGTCAACATCAATTTGAGTATAAACAAAAATGTTATATTTAATAATAGATGGATAATTATTGACATTAAAATGGTTACTGTATCATATTTCTTCCATAGAAACTAGAAGTGGATACTCTTGAAGTTAAAGGAAGCAAGGAACAAGCTTTGCAGGATCTACAACTGCAAAGACAGCTGAATACAGATTTAGAGCTTAGAGCCACAGAATTGAGTAAACAACTTGAAATGGAGAAAGAAATGTAAGCTAAACTACTTTAAGGAGGGATTATAAACTATTAAAATATTATGGTTTCAATTTTGCTATTGCAGGGCTTAAAGATTTATTTAATGTTTATGTTGATTCTATAAACTCTGATGTTTATATCAATGAATGAAAAATAAAGCCATCATACTAGGGTTAAATTTACCTTCACTAGAAAGGACTGAAAATCTGGGTCATCCAGTCTCTTTTCAACAGTAGTATGGTACTCATTTATCTGAGTTAAAGCAATTGTTTTGAGTTGTTCACTAATTTGAATAAATAAATTTAAAAGTAACAAATAGAGGAGTATTTCTAATATCAGCCAAGAAGCAATTGGGCTTCTACTTTGAGAGACTATATCAAGTAGGGAATGTATACTTTCTTATAAGAAATGATCTGTTTTAGCTTTGTGATGTATCTTAACAAATCATATTAATGAGCACAAGGGAAAACCTGGAATCAGTGTACCTTTTTAAAAATTATTGAAGTAAATTTTATATACCATTAAATGCACAGATCTCACATGTACAATTTGAGTTTTAGTAGGTATATACTTTGTGCAATAAAATGCACCCCCTTCCCCCACAACATTTTTATTACCTGTGGAGTTTTCTCAGGTGTCCTAGTCAATACCTTGTAGACACCACAGTTCTAATTTCAGTCTCCATAGATTGCTGTTATGTGTTTTTGAAATGAAATTATGCAGTATGTTCTTTTTTATAACTGCCTTTTTTTCACTTAACATACTCTTTTTAAAATTCATCCATGTAGTTGAATAAATATTGTTCCACTGAATGAATATTACAATTTGATTATCTTTTTTGGGTGGTATTTTTTTGGTTGTTTGCAGTTTTTACCTGTTAAGAATAAAGATGCTATCAGTATTCTTAAATAAGCATTTTTGTGAAAGTTCAGCATCATGGTGGGGTAGATATATGTTTAATTTTATGAAAAACTGCCAAATCTTTTCCCAAAATGGCTGTACCATTTTTTGGTAAAGATTTTATTTATTTATTTGACAGACAGAGATCACAAGTAGGCAGAGAGGCAGACAGAGAGACGGGGGTGGGGTGGGGGGTGGTGGGACAGGCTCCCTGCTGAGCAGGAAGCTGGATGCAGGCCTCAATCCCAGGACCCTGGGATAATGACCAGAGCCGAAGACAGAGGCTTTAACCCACTGAGCCACCCAGGCACCTTTGGCTGTACCATTTTATACTCCTAATGGCAGTGTTTCAGTTGCTTCACATCCTTGCCAGTATTTGGTGTTGTTGGTCCTTTAACTTTAGCTACTTATTGACTGTGAAATAGTATCTTATTGTGAGCTTAATTTGCATTTTTTCACTTGTGAAGTGTCAAATTATTTTGCCTATTAAAATTTTTTCCCACTGGAATCTTTTTATTATTGATTTGTAGGAGTTCTTTGTATATTGAAAGTACTAATCCTTTGCCAGATAGCTAAGCAGACAGACAAATAGATTTTCAAGACTTTGCAGATTTGTTTTACATTTTTTTGGTGGTATCTTTCAGTGAAAAGTTTTAAATTTTGGTTGAATTCAATTTGTCATTTTTAAAAAAATTTATGTTTTTTGTCTTTTTTAAGAAACTTCTGGCTGTCCTCAGGGTTTATGAAGAATTCTTTTATGTTTTCTTCTGGAAATTTTATAATTTTAGTTTTTACATTTAGGTCTAGGATCTACCTTGAACTCATTTTTGTGAGAGGTATGAGATGGAGGTCCAGGATTATCTTTTTTCCTGTACATCATTAAGTTATTCTAGTACCATTTTTTGATAAAACCTTTTTCTCCCAATAAGTGGCCTTTCATGCCTTTGTCAAAGCAGTTATTTTAATATATGTGGGTTCATTTGTGGACTCAATTCTGTTCTCTTGGTCTTTATGTCTGTATGGTATTCTGACACCAGTACCATCCTGTGTTGATTTTTGTAGCTTTGTGGTATAGGTCTTGTTATCAGGTTGTATCAGCCCTCCAATTTAATTCTTTTTCAAGATTGTCTTGATGCTTTTAAGTTTATTGCTTTTCCATATAAATTTTAATATTAACATCCATTTCTATAAATCAAACTATTGGGTTTTGATTGGAATTACAATGAATCTGCAGTTCAGTTTGGGGAGAATTAATGTTTTAAGAATACTGAGTCTTCTAGGGGCACCTGGGTGGCTCAGTGGGTTAATTAAGCCTCTGCCTTCGGCTCAGGTCATGATCTCAGCGTCCTGGGATTGAGCCCCACATCGGGCTGTCTGCTCAGCAGGGAGCCTGCTTCCCCCTCCCTCTCTGCCTACTTGTGATCTCTCTCTCTGTGTCAAATAAATAAATAAAAAATTAAAAATAAAAAAGAATACTGAGTCTTCTAATCCATGAATGTAGTATTTCTCTAATATTTATGTCTTCTTTAGTATCTGATTAACATTTTGTTTTTAAAATAGGAATCTTAAATATCTCTTCCTAAATTTAATCCTAAATATTTGATGTTTTTCAGGTTTTAAAATTTTCTGATTGTGTGTGGCTAGTATAAAAATACAATTGAGCCTTGCTAAATTCACATTTTGGTTTTGTAGAGTTTTTAGAATATTCTAAGTGGAAAATCTTGGTATTTGTTAATTATCAACAGTTTTTTTTTTTTTCCCCATTCTGTAGGCCTTTTATTTTATTTTATTTTATTTATTTTTTCTTTTCTTGATTTACTGTTAGCTGACACCTCCAGTGAATTTTGAATAAAAAGATAGTGGATCTCCCTGCATTGTTCCAGCTTTGGGTTGGAAACATGAAATATTTTATCATTAATTTTGAGATTAGCTGTGTGTCCCCCCCACCCCAGATTCTTTTATCAGATTGAGAGCATTACTATCTATACTAGTTTTCTTAAATTTTTTTTTTATCAACTTCTTTTTCCTGCATCTAATGATATGATCATATGGTTTTTCCTTCTTTATTCTATTAATATGGTGAATTGCATTGATTGCTTTTTTAAATAGTAAACCAACTTTGCTTTCCTTGGATAAATCCCACTTGATTATCCTGTATTATTCTTTTTATATATTGCTGTTTTTGAGTTGATAACACTTTGATTAGAATTTTATGCATTCATGGGGGCTGTTGGTCTGGTTGTTCTTTAATATCATTGTCGTTGTTTTGGAATTATGGTCATGCTGGTCTTAAAAATAAATTGACAGGGGTGCCTGGGTGGCTCAGTGGGTTAAAGCCTCTGCCTTCAGCTCAGGTCATGATCCCAGGGTGCTGGGATTGAGCCCCACATTGGGCTCTCTGCTCAGCAGGGAGCCTGCTTCCTCCTCTCTCTCTGCCTGCCTCTCTGCCTACTTGTGATCTCTGTCAAATAAATAAAATCTTTAAAAATAATAATAACAAATAAATAGACAGTTTTCTTTCTTCCTCTCCTTTCTAAAAGAGTTTGTGAGGGGTATTATTTATTTCTTAAATGTTTTATTAAATCCACCAATGAACCAACTGACCTGAAGTTCTCTATGGATTGCTTCTTAATTTAGAGTTCAATTTATTTAATAGATACAGGGCTAGTATTTTTTTCTAATATTTTATTTGAGTCAGTTTTGATAATTTGTGTTTTTGAAGGAATTTTTCCATTTAATCTAAACTTCAAATTTATTGGTATAATGTTCACAAGATCATTATACTTTTAAGGTCTGTAGGCTCTGTAGTGATGTCTTATTATTCTTAATAGTGCTAATTTATGTTCTCTTTTTCTTGATCAATCTAATTTGGGGTTTATCGGTTACATAAAAAAACTTTTGATTTTGTCAATTTTCTTTTTTTTGGATTAGAACTTCATTTATTTACTTGAACTTTATTTATTTTTTAAAAATTTTATTTTAAGTAGGCTCTATGCCCAATGTGGGGCTCAAACTCACAACCCTAAGATCAAGAGTCATGTGCTCTACTGACTGAGCCAGCCAGGTGTCCCTGATTTTGTCAATTTTCTATTTCATTTATTTCTCATCTTCTCTTTAGTATTTTCTCCCTTAGACTTTGGGTTTAGTTTGCTTTTCTTTTTATAGCTTTTTAATGTGGAAGCTTCCCTGTGGTTGTCCACCTTTTGTAGTATCTGTTTCATTTTCATAGTTACTCATCCTCTTCGTATTTTGCCAGGTTTCTGCAAATGGTACCTATATGTCGTAGTCCAGTAAAATCAGTTTAGTATGACAATTTTTAACAGATGGAATAAATTACCTTGAGGAAGATTGTCTTTTCCCATTTGTACTAAGTGCTTAATGGGCTTATTTATGATCGCTCTGAGTATAAGGGTGAATTAGTTTAGAAGATATTAGGATCTAAAAGATGAATTGATAAGAGAAATTTTAAATGTCCTTAGTGGCAGAGGGGGTATCTGCCTCCAGACATACCCCATATATTCATAAAAGTGCTGAGATGAGGCATCTTTTGTTCACCTCTAAGGTAGAATTAGTCTCTTTCTTAGCTTGTTCTTGATGTTGAAGCTTCCATTGGGTCTTACCATAAAATCTTCAATGGACACATAACTCACCAGAATTTTGATGGAAAAAATCAGTTCCACTCCATTTATCTGGATTTTTTCAAAGGAGGGGTTGTCACCAGTCACATTTCAGTAGACTTTGCCTTTAAATGCCAAATAGACCTCTCTGACTGAGTTCACAGACTTGATCTGTGTCAAGGGTATGAAGGTTTTTTGACTCTGAGTAATAAAGATGGAAACTGACAACCTAGAGAGGTACCCCTCAGGGAAATGAAATAAAACCTGTCAGATTGATGATAATTAAGTTGTTTGACACGTTCATGATTTTGCCCTTGTTTGGGAGTGATGAGAAAAATTTCTTGTTTTCACATATAGTGAAGTATTTGAATTTGAGGGTATAAAGGTGCATTATATACCTTAAATGGTGTTCCTTCTCCCTATTAACATCATAGTTTGGGGAGCACATATAATCTCTTATATCACCCACTGAGTAATTTGTCACTTTTGGAACCCAATCGTCAGTCCATGAAAATCACCTCTGAGCTGGTTCTTGTTCTTCTTCCCAAGGCCCCTGTGGGCACAAAGGTTCTTTCCATTTCTAATGGGTTCAAAGTAAATGGGCCCATTTCTACTCCATGTTCTAATCTCATGGTTCAGAACTCATGCAGAGGCTTCTATATCATATTGAAGTAGGGAAACCTTTTAATACTAAAGTCTTTTTTTGCCTATATACTTTATGGAAACTTTTTAATGTAATATCTTGCATTTCTACTCTACCAACTATGAAAAAAGGGCTGGGTAAACACATCCAGCATTTTACTAAACCTTACCCCTGATTCCAGGTCTCAGCCCAAAAAACAGGGCAAGGTTTCCCCTTTTACAAGGCCCTCTTACATCTCTGCATTCAGCTCTCCTTCCAACTCTCATCTTGCAGTGTATTTTCATTACCGTAATATCCTTTGTGATTTTTTTCTTTGATACAAGGAGTATTTCTTTATTTACAAATTTATTTTATTTTTTTAGAGATTTTATTTATTTATTTGACAGAGATCACAAGTAGAGAGGGAGGCAGAGAGAGGGGGGGGAAGCAGGCTCCCTGCTGAGCACAGAGCCCAATGTGGGGCTCGATCTCAGGACCCTGGGACCATGACCTGAGCCGAAGGCAGAGGCTTTAACCCTCTGAGCCACTCAGGCGCCCCTCTTTATTTATAAATTTATTTTAAAGATTTATTTTATTTATTTGAGAGAGAGAGCATGAGAGGGGAGAGATCAGAGGGAGAAGCAGACTCTCTGTTGAGCAGGGAGCCCGATGTGGGACTTGATCCCAGGACTCCAGGATCATGACCCGAGGTGAAGGCAGTTGCTTGACCAACTGAGCCACCCAGGAGCCCGATACATGGAGTATTTAGAAGTATGTTGTTTACTTTCCAGATATTTGGAGCTTTTCTAGATAGTTGTTACTAACTTTTAATTTAATTCCATTGTGAACAGAGAACATGCTCTGTAAAATTTGGTCTTTTAAAACTGTCTTATTTATTGCCCAGTGTATGGTTTACCTTGGTTCATTTTTCCATGTGCACATAGGTATATTCTCTGTTGGTAAGTGTTCTATCTATAAGTTTTAGTCAAGGTGGTTGATAGTGTTTTAAAAAATAGGGTTTTTGTTGTTGTTGTTGTTTGTTTGAATATGGTTGATACACAATGTTACTTTAGTTTCAGCTGTATAACAAAGTGACTCAAGACCTCTATATTTTCTGCTATGCTCACCACAATGGTAGCTACCATCTGTCACCAGGCAACTCTATTACAATACGATTGAGTAGGTTTCTTATTCTATACTTTTTGTTCTCGTGATATATTCATTCCAGATAACGTTTAACCTTCTTTATCCTTGCTTTCCCCCGACCTCTGGTTGTTTTGTCAATTCTGAAAAAAGGTGTTGTTTCCAACTATGATTGAAGATTTATTTATTACTTCCTTTAGTGCCCTTTTTAAAATTAAAGTTTTACGTGACAATGAAAGACTTTATTTCTGTTTTTCCTTCTTTCACATAATCTTACGATTTTATAATAATTATTTATGGGAAAGTTAAGTATCATAGAGATATATATCAAGTACTAATTTTAGGGTTGCTTGATAGGAATTGTAGCTATATGAAAAAGATAATGACCTTTCTATTTAGACCTTTGAAAATCAGTGAGGTACAGTATCCTATGAATGCACTTTTCAAGCCACTTTTAGAAAGTAAAAGTAAATTTCTGGGACTAAAAGTTGAAAAATTTCCAAATTTAAATATAATTCTGGTATTGTATAAATACCCAACTTCAAATATGTGGCTAGTACATCTTTTAGCAACCTCTCTTTAACATATTATTAAATTTATACTGATTATAAAGTACATCAGAAATAGTATGCATTCAAGAAATGTTACTTTGCATCTGGTTTTATTTTCACTTTAAAAATGGTTGATCTTTAATATGTGGGGTTTTTTGGATGCATAATTTCATTTTGTCAAAACAGTAGAAGTTCTTAACTTTCTTAAAGCTATATCTTCATTTCTTTATTCTTGTAGCTTATTCATTTAGGTATAGAAAACTTACATTTAAGGCACAAATGATAAGTCTCTTCTATAATCTGCTAGAATTAAAATAAATCTTTTGTCTTTCTTTCTGTTTGAAGTGAAATATTTCTTTTTTACTTTTTTTCCTACACTAATCATATTTTAAAGTTTAATATCTAGAAAATACATAATGTGTTTTATGTTTTCAAGGTAAGCGGCAAGGTGCTCTGTATGCATGGGGGCTAACACAATGAATAAGTTCTTTAAGGTACATGGAAAACCTTTTCTGGCTGTTGTAGACTTGAGGGTCAGATATATGTACAGTTTTGGGGGACATCCATTGCAATAGATGAGACTGGATTTGACTTAAAGAAAATCATCTTTATCTGTCAAATGATCAGATCAGATTTAAGGTGTTTTCAGTTGTGTTGTTTTATGACATTAAATTATTATTTTTACTTCTGAGCTACACAAGAAAGTTTTAAAACTCAATTATTAATTTAAAATAATAATTATTAATTTTTAATGCTTATTAAGAATTGTAAATTATGCATTAATTAAAAATTTGTTTCTTAAATATTTAGAGTATCCAGTATGAAGTTGGATCTTCAGAAAAAATCTGAAGCCCTTGAAAATATTAAGCAAATGCTTACTAAGCAAGAGGAAGAAAAAAAAATCCTTAAACAAGAAATTGAAAATTTAAGTCAGGATACAAAGATGCAGCACAAGGAATTAAATAATAAAATTCAAACAGCAGCAGCAGAACTACAAAAAGTGAAGATGGAGAAAGAAACTCTAATGACAGAGCTTTCTGCAACAAAAGAGAATCTATCAAAAGTTTCTGATTCTTTGAGGAACTCCAAAAGTGAATTTGAAAAGGAAAATCAGAAAGGAAAAGCTGCTATATTAGATTTGGTTAGTTGTTTATGTTTACTTAGGTAGAAGTAATTTTTATCTAAAATGTACTGGTTTTTCTGCTTAACCCACCGTTGACTTTTTATCCTACATTTAAATGATTTCAAGTAATTCTTATGAGAAAAGGAATTGGGATTTCTTAACCTGAGAAAAAGATATTGGTGTTTGTGTGTAAAATTTCCAGAGGCCCAGGAAACTTTTAGTTGAATATACAGTTTTTGTCTGTTGTTGGTATGATGTTGGGTTTGGGAGAGAGTGCTGCCTGTTTGTCCTCAGAGACATTTTCATAGAGAATGTAACCGCTGATTCAAGCATTATTCTCTTGCCTGAAAAAAAATAGAAAAAAAAAAAAAAACCCAGAGGATCTTGATGACTTTTAATTCTGATATTATAAACTTTCCAAGTTGTTCTAAATGTTCTGAATGTTCTACAACTCTAGATAATGTCATGTTTTAGAATTACCATAAAACATATTTAAACTATATGAAATAAAAGTCACACAGTTTCAGGAAATGCTAAATGGGGAATGTACTCTCAGAAATCCATAGGATGCCTGGGTGGCTTAGTTGGTTAAGCATCTGATTCCTGATTTTGGCTCAGGTCATGATCTCAAGATCCTGGAATCAAGCCCTGTGACTGGCTCAGTGTGGTGTCTGCTTGAGTTTCTCTCCCTCTGCCCTTTCCCCTGCTCATGCGTACTCTTTCTCTCTCTCTCATATAAATAAATAAATCTGCAAAAAAAAAAAATATTTTAACCCAGAATAACAGAGTAACAGCATGTTACATGTTACAGCATGTAGCAATATGAAGGTCAGTGAAAATGTTCAGTAGCACAAAAAATATATAATATTAGCATGTTACTTTTATGTTCCTTTCTGTTTGGAGAAAACATCTCCTATCTGTACAGCTTCCCTCTTAAGTTGTGATTATTCTTTATTTATATGAATTTGAATATATTTATATAAGACATATATAAATATATATGTAATATAAATCATATATATAATATGTGATTATTCTTTATTGTTTTAATACATTCTTTTACAAAAATTTCCTTTTTTCCATTTTCTTGATGATTGTCATTCTCCTTTTACGAGCTTTTTTTAAAAAGTAGCTCCACGCCCAACATGGGGCTCAAACTCAGGACCCTGAGATCAGGAGCTGCAGGCTCTGCCAACTGAACCAGCCAGGCGCCTCTTTTGTTATTCTACTTTTAAAATGGCATGACAAGTTAATTAATTGTAATTAATTGTGTGACCTAAAAATGTGGTTTCCAAAGCGTTCTCCTGCTGGTTGATGATAGAAGCTTTTTAACCTTTTTCCATCTGTCTACCTTTATTGCTCTAATATTTGGCTGTTTATAACTCAAATGGATGATTCTATCCCATGCTAACCCATCAATGATTCTAGTGTATTTCTATGTGTGGATCTTACTAAGCATATAAATCAAACTTTTTAAACTTACTACAGATATCTTCTGTATAATGTAGTTTTTATATTTTTTAGGAAAAAACTTGCAAAGAATTAAAGCATCAGCTTCAAGTACAGATGGAGAACGCACTTAAGGAACAGAGTGAACTAAAAAAGTCACTCGAAAAAGAGAAGCAGGTAAGATTTTTTTTCTGTAATGTAAAATATGTGAAGAATAATAAGGTCTGTATTTTCAAAATTTCACACTGATACTTAAGTCAGAGGAGGTTTATGTCTCTGAAATGTGATGGATCACAAAAAAATAGTTTAAAATTGTCATTTATGTTCTACCTGCTGCTAAAAGATTTAAGCTACTTTATAATAAAAGACCCAAAATAAAGGATTACAATTAATAAAGTTAATTGGGCCAATTTACTATAGAGTTATAACTAGATAATTTAGATTAAGGAACATTATTATGATTGAGAAAAATACCTTGATAGGCTTTCCATAGAAATAATATTTTAACAGCTCTTTATTTCATGGACATTTATATTTAATGGTATGTTAACGTTGTATAACAACAGATTTTCTGTGGTTAATGCTTTTATTGCTCTCCATCTAAAATAAATAAGCAAATGAGTAAATAAATGGGTATAATATATAGTTGTTATTCTCTGAAGACCTACCTCTAGCAGTCCAGGCATGTAGTTTTTCTATAGAGATCTGATTTGATAAAGCAGCAAAATCTAGTCTTGAGAAGTCCTTAATATGATTGTAGTCTGCTTGTTGCTTGAAAGGAGACCACTTGTGTTTTAGATGCCAGTCATTAAGTGGCAAAATTATGGTGGCTTAGTGATCAAGCTCCGAATCCATTGTCCAGATTTATATCCTGACTGTGCTATTTGCTAGGTATGCTGTCTTGCCTTGTTTTAGGCAGATTACATAATCTCTCCATGCTCCCATTTCCTCAGCAGTAAAATGGGGCTAATAAAAGAATCTATGCTGTAGGATTATGTTAGGAGAAAATTGGGTTAATATATTTCAAAGTGCTTGGAACCATTATAACAGAATAAAATAAATGCTCAGATGTTAGCTATCATTTTATCATTGGTTATCATATTATAATCATCATCGTTACACTGCCTGACTCCCTGTTTTGCATAAAAGTTGGAGATAAGCTGAAGCAACCATATGTAGTGGTGAAACTTTTCAGAAGTAACTTTGAATATGGTCAAATGCACAAGTTAGGTTCATAATGAAATATGCATAAAACATGAAAACATGACTTTGGCTGGAAGGACTGGAGATCATTGTAGTTCACGTTGGCCACAGAAGAACCTCAGTGTGACTTCTGTATTTTGAACAGAAATATATCCTAGTAGATTATAAAAACATGGTAGTAGCACAACATACCCCAGATCTCTAAATGAAGAAACTATTGCATGGGATAGTTTAATGTCATCAGACAGATCCTAAACATATTTGCCAAAAATGATTTTAGTTGTATCAGAGTAAATATGGAGCTATTCTTTCTGATTAACCATGGCCAATGAGCTAAGTTAGCATTTTGAGACTATTCTTGAAAGACAGTAGACATTCCAGCAGTCCCAAGATTGATATTAATATTCCTATTTTCTGTGATACAAGGTAATACTAGTCTAGCTCATTTACAAGCTCTATCCAAACACATACTTACAAGCTAGAAAGGAAGGTAAGATTAAACAAATATTAAAGATTAATCCAGCATGTTACCTAATAGGGAATAGCATCAGTTATGAACTCTGTTTAATGGCAGGGATTTTTGTTTTTATTTTTATTATTTTTTTATTTTTTATTTTTTTGTTTACTACTTATCACCTGTGGCCACCAGACTTAGTACTTTCTACCTAGAGTTGTGCCTGGCGTGTAGAAGTTACCCAGTAAATGTGTCTTGCTTGAATGATGAATGCTAAACAGATTTTATTTTCTTATAGACTTCTCATCATTTGAAAGTGGAACTCAATTCAATGCAGGGACAAGTTGTACAGGCCCAGAACACTTTAAAACAAAAGGAAAAAGAAGAACAGCAACTTCAGGGGAACATAAATGAGCTAAAGCAATTGACTGAACAGAAGAAAAAACAAATTGATGCACTCCAAGGAGAGGTTAAAATTGCTATTTCACAGAAGGTAGTAATATGGTATTTGTTTACTTTTCATGGGAAGAAAATCTTTGCAGTTAAGATAATGTGATAACACAGATGAGTTGCAACAAACAAAAATTTATATGCTCAAAATTCTTCTAAGTAATTTTTCTAAGTAATTTTTCTAAGTATTTTAATTATGTAATTAAATATATAAGTCTGGATTTCCATTCACTAACCATGTTTTTAGATAATCTTTACTTAAAATTAATCATCTGATAGACATAAAATTACCTTTTTATACACTAATGTAATTAACACTTAATGTTATGGGAATAATTTATACATTTCTAGGGCATTAGAAATTTTAAAGGATTTTAAAAATAAATGATCCACATTAAGGGAAGATAAGAACAAAAACCACCAAATGGTATGTATTAAAGAAATTCAAGAGTGTAGGTTTCATATAGTTATAATTGTCTGATATTCTAAGTTACATCTTAATGGTTTTCATTTCTAAATGATTCTAATTTATTAAGCATCTATTTTTTATTCTTAAATATATTTTAATACTTGTCTGTACAGGTTGACAAATGGATTGTACTTAATATTTGAACAAAAAGAACTTTCATTACTATTGCATGTCATTTGGTCAACAGAGAAGAGAGAAGTGAAATCTGTCTTTTTTTTTTTTTTTTTAAAGATTTACTTATTTACTAGAGAAAGAGAGAGAGAGTGTGTGTGTGTGTGTGTGTGTGAAAGAGTGGGGTGGGGGTGTTCGGGAGAGGGGCAGAGGGAAAGAATCTGAAGCAGACTCCCCACTGAGCATGGAGCCTGCTGTGGACTCCATCACATAACCCTGTCTCACATCACTGAGAGCATGACCTGAGCCAGAATTAAGAGTCAGGTGCTTAACTGACCGAGCCACCCAGATGTCCTGAGAAGTGAAATCTCTTTTACGTAGAACAATCAAAATATGTAATTAAGAGTTAGTTATCATATTACTACTTTACAAAAGAGTAATTTTCTAATAACTCAAGAGTAGACAAGTTTGCATTTTTGGTGTTATATATAATCATAAGGCAGGATATAATTATCACAATACATATTCTGTTGTGTGCTTTGATATCTTGAAGTAATTATTTTCCCCCAAATTTATTGTCCTCATATCCAGGTATTCCCCAGATCTTCATTTTTATAGCATAATAGTTTCATAAATTAAAAAAAATAAAGCCCAACTATTTTAGCACATTTTCTTCTTAATTATATTATTAGTTACAATAGGATTTATTTTAGATTTATGATTAATGTATATTGATCATACTTTGCATGAATTTATTAGACACCTTAAGAATTATGAGATCTTAAAAAAAAGTATTATGAGATCTTAAAAGAATTATGAGATTTTAAAGGAAATATTTTTATTGGTAGTTGTCTTAGTTTGGATTGCTATAACAAAAATACCATAGACTTGGTATTTTTGAATACCAAACAGTAACTGTTTATTTCTCACAGTTCTGTAGGCTGGGAAGTCCAATATAAAGACAAAAAATTAAATAAAAAATAAAGACACTGGCATATTCGGTGTCTGGTAAGGATCCATTTCCTGGCTTATAGACAGATGCTTTCTTTTTCTTTCTTTTTTTTTTTTTTAAGTATAACTTCTTTTTTTTTAAAGATTTTATTTATTTATTTACTTGACACAGAGAGAGAGATCACAAGTAGGCAGAGAGGTAGGCAGAGAGAGAAGGGGAAGCAGGCTTCCCTGGTGAGCAGAGAGCCCAATGTGGGAGTCTATCCTAGGACCCTGAGATCATGACCTGAACTGAAGGCAGAGGCTTAACCCACTGAGCCACCCAGGCGCCCCTAGACAGATGCTTTTTTGCTATATCTTCATATGGCTGAGAGAGAAATTACATCTCTTATGTTTCTTCTTCTATGGATACTAATCCCTAATTACTCATTCATGAGGGCTATACCCCCATGACCTAATGGCCTCCTAAAGGTCCCACCCCAACTACCATCACATTGTGGATTTAGGCTTCAACATGGACTTTTGAAGAGGGCACAAACATTCAGGAATGGCTATACTTAATTTATGTTAGTATATGGATGCTAAAAATAAGGAGCACACTTTTTAAACTTGGGAAGGATAGCATTTTGGGGAGTGTTGGTGGATAACCAGTTGCTATAAATTACATTTTTAAAAAATATTTTATTTATTTGAGAGAGAGAGCAAAAGCCAGAGAGAGAACCTGAGTGGAGGGGAGGGGCAGAGGCAGAAGCACACTGTCCACTAAGTAGGGAGCCTGATGCAGGGCGTGATCCCAGGACCTTGGGATAATAACCAACTAAGCCTCCCAGGTTAGTCAAATCAAAATTAGTCAAAATCAAAATTAGATTTTGAATTTAGAGTAACTAGAGAATCATTGAAAGGCAAGTATAATTTGGTTTTGTTGAGGAGCACTGTAACATGGAAAGCAGGATAAATTTTGGAGCTAGGCAGATCTGAATTTAAATTTCATGTGATACACATTAGGTTTATGGTCATGGGGGAGTCATCTTTTTGAGCTAAATAAAATGGAGTTGTAGAGTTGTTGTAAAGATTGAGAAAATGGATTTAAAATATGCAGTACTGTGCCCAGTGCAATATAGAAGCAAAATACTTGTTGGCTATCATATGGAAGTATAGCAAACTATGATCTAAGTGTGTCGATGTGCATGGTCAACTCTTCAGTGATGGTCTTGACAGTCACTGGCCCACAATGAAACAGGAAAAACAAACATAATGTTTAAATGGATATAGATATGTATGTGTATGCACTTATATAACACACACACACACATACACACGCACACATTTTGGATATATATGATTGTTTGAGAGCTGCTGATCAAGGATCCTGCAAGTAGGATCTTTTTTTTTTTTTTTTTTTTTTTTAAAGATTTTATTTATTTATTTGACAGACAGAGATCACAAGTAGGCAGAGAGGCAGGCAGAGAGAGAGGAAGGGAAGCAGGCTCCCTGTTGAGCAGAGAGCCCGATGCGGGACTCGATCCCAGGACCCTGAGATCATGACCTGAGCCGAAGGCAGCGGCTCAACCCACTGAGCCACCCAGGCGCCCCTGCAAGTAGGATCTTGCAAGTAAGTCAGTGGCCCCTGCATCAACTTTATTTGAAATCTATTGTGGGAATACAGAATGAATAGGATAGGGCCCCCAACTCTCAAGGAGCTTATAATTTAATGAGGATGTAGGTATATAAAGAAAAAAAATAATGAATAAGGGAGAATGAGATAAGAACTTAAACAGAAATATGAAAAAATAGAACTTAATGGAAATTTTGACTGGCTTTCTAGGGAGTTAGCATTTTAATTGGGTTTTTGGAGATGATTATAATTTTAAAAGTTTAAAAAAGTAAATTAGACATTTCAGGGAGTTAAAACAATATTACCAATGTTTCCAAGACTTAGAAAATGTTGTTATAGAACATTAGCTGTTGGAGTGCATGGCAAATGGAGAAGTGAGGGGAGGGATAAGGCAACAGAACTGGATGAAGTCAGATTACAGTAGATATTGTATCATTGTTTCCACTTTAAAATTTTAATATTGGAGTATTAAAGATTTTTAAGAAGGGAGGAATGTGATCAGACCATTTTAGAGCAAAAACTGGTCAGTTTGTGAAGGGTGAATTGTAAATGACCCTCCTTTATTCTCCTTTGGAAGTTTGGTTTACTTCTATTAAAACAATTATCAAACTGTTGCATTGATCCTTTTTTTAAAAATTCCCCACTAATATATTTGAGTTCCTTAAAGTTGGAAAACTGTGTCTTTTGATAAATAAGCCAGCCAATAATTGTTATAAACGAATGAATCCATCAGTCTGTCAGAGTAAAGATAATGAAGGCTCAAATATGAGCCCAAAGGCCTTTATGGTCATTACTGAGACTTTGCAGAGGGCTTAGTTGAGAGCCATGAAGGTGATTAAAGAGAAAGAAAACTAGATTTTGGGAGGAAAATGTTAAAGCAAAGAAGTAGTATTCTATAAAAGAAAATATGTAAGACCAGTATAGTCTTCAAGGTGAAAAAAGATGTCCAGGAATTCTTCATCATGAAGAATCTAAACTAGAGGAAATGAAAAGGAGGTGACATGGGATGTTATGAGATAACATATAGAGAGGTCAAACCCCATTTCCTCCATAGGTTTTAACACGACCTCCTGCCAGTCTGCCTCCTGGCTCTCTTGAATGCATCCCTTTTTCTCATTTCCTAGGGCCACGGGCTTAGTCCAGGCTATTTTGTTTTCCTAAATAGGCTATTACAATAGCTTATTAATAGTCATCCCAGGCTTTTCCACCTCCAATCTGTTTGTCATTCATTCATTTAAGAAGTATTACTAGACATCTGTTTTATGCTGTGACACAATTTTAGGTGTTGGAGATAATAGCCACGAACAGACAAGGAACCTGTTCTCATTGAGCTTACACTTTCTTGGGGAAGGAATTAAACAGGGTGATGTGAAAGCCAGTGATAGGACAGAGTCCTACTAAAGGGTGGGTGATCAAAGAAACCTCTCTGAAGAGATTTGAGTTGATACATGAAGTCAAGAGCTATTTGTACAAAGGTCCAGGGAGACAACTAGTGTGAAGACCTTAAACTAGAGAGCTAGCTTGGTATTTTCCAAAAACAGAAGACCAACATAGATTAAGTATAGCGGGAGAGAAGAAGAAGAATGTGAAATGAGCTCAGAGAAATAGACAGGGGCCAAAGCATATACATTCAAATATATAGATTATAAGACAGTAGAGAATGATATACTTTGTTCTAAGGATAGTTAGAATCAGTTGGGGAATTTTGAGCAGATACTGGTGCAATCTGATTATGGGGAGATAAAGGAGCAAGCAGAGATGGCAATGAAAAACTGTTGGCAGTAGTCCAGGCAGTACATGGTGATAGCCTGAACTGAAGTTTTAGGAGTGGATGGTTAGGAATATATTTTGGAAGCTGAGTCATCGGGACTTGCTGATAGGTTAGATGATGAGAGACGATGGAAAGAGGAATCAAGAATAATTCTGTTTGTGGCTTGTGCAGGTGGATAGATGATCATATTTATGGGGGGAAAGTAGCAGCTTTTTGATGAGCAGTGTCAGCAATCCAGAGTTTTACTTGAGATAGATCTCTGTCAGTCATTGAAGTAGATTAGAGATGTCAGGGAAGTACTTGATCATAATGAGCCCCGAGTTCAGGCAGAGAGGTTGGGGCTAGTGACATAGTTCAGGAGTCAACTGTAAATAAATGATATTTAAAGCCATGAGTGTAGTTGAGATCTTCTAGAAAGAGACTGTTTATAGAATAAAAGGAGGACAGGACAGAATCCTGGGGTCCTAGAATATTTAGAGATCAAACAAAAGAAGAGGAACTAGTAAAAGATTTAAAGAAGGAATGACCAATGAGATAGGTGGAGAACCTAATATATGAGGTGCCCTGGAAACCAGGTTGAAAAATGTTTGTAGGAGGGAACATATCAGCTATTTCAAGTACTGCTGGGAGGTTAAGTAAGAGGTGCACAAGGACATGAATGTTGGGTTTTGGAGCAAGGGGTCATTGGGCATTTCAACAGAAGTTTCACTGAAGTTGTGTATTTATTTTAAAAGCCAAGTGCTTATTTTCATACTGTACACACATATATCTTAATTATGTCATAATTTGTACATATCTCCTGATTCTTCTTAAAGACTAAAGACAAGTTTAGAGTTTGGAGGAGTCAGGCCTTTGCAAGATTTCCTTTTTCTGCCTTGCTGTTAATAAAGATGACCTGTAGAAATTTTCCAAGTTACTCTGGAATTTCAAGGAGTAGATATGATGTACTTTAATACAATAAGGACTTTTCATTTCTTTCATGTAGAAATTTCCATTAGTTCAACCTTAAATTATGTCTTCTAAAGCATCTAACACTGCATCTTCTGTCAGAATGTGGCTGTTACTCTCAGTCTCCTGAGATATCGATACTTCCCAGTGAAATGCTTTTTTTCTGTATTTAATGCTTTTTTATTTTTTGGTTTTTAAATTGGGACTTGCTGGATTTTGTATTTTGTACATCTTTAAGTTTGAAACTATAAGGTAAGTGAGTTACTCTTTATTAAAGTAGAATTTTCAGGCATAAATACTACTGAACTTGTTCTTGGGAATCTTCTTAGTTGTGTAGATTTCATTTTATATTTGTAACTGGTTTTCTGTATGCAACTGTTCTAAATGACTATTGTATGTTTCAGACAGAGCTTGAGAGTAAACTACAGCAGCATTCAACACAAGCAGCCCGGGAACTTGCAGCAGAGAAAGAGAAAATGTCAGTGTTACAAAATACCTATGAAAAAAGTCAGGAAAATCTAAAACAGCTTCAGTCTGACTTCTATGGGAAGGAATCTGAGCTTCTTGCCACGAGGCAAGATCTTAAGGTATAGTAAAATATATTACAAAAATGGAGTAAGTTGTTTATAGACATTCATTAAATGACTGAGTCCAGATGGCAAGAGAATGTTAGTATTTATGGAATATCATGATTGTTTTCTATTAAATTATTATTTTTGGAGTTACATGCTTTTTAAAAATTAAATTATTTTATGTTATTACAACATATATATGTAAATATAGGCAATTTAAAAATAACATCTGTAACAGTAAAATAATTTGGAAGTATGTTAACTGCTATATTTTAAGCTTATCTAAAGACTTTGCTGTCTTTACGTAAAAAGGTAATTTTTAAGAAGGACTGCTGTTTGATGGTCTTTGAGGATGTGGAGAAAGGGGAACCCTCTTATACTGTTGGTAGGAATGCAAGTGGTGCAGCCACTCTGGAAAACAGTATGGAGGTTCCTCAAAAAGTTGAAAATAGAGCTACCCCTGACCCAGCAATTGCACTACTGAGTATTTACCCCAAAGATACAAATGTGATTTGAAGGGGCACCTGCACCCCAGCGTGTATAGCAGCAATGTCCACAATAGCCGAACTATGGAAAGAGCCCAGATGTCCATCAGCAGATGAATGGATAAAGAAGATGTAGTATATATATACAATGGAATACTACTCAGTCATCAGAAAATGAAATCTTGACGTTTACAACACCGTGGATGGAACTAGAGGGTATTATGCTAAGTGAAATAAGCCAAACAGGGAGAGCCAGTTACTGAATGATCTCACTGATATATGGAATTGAAGAAACAAAACAGTCATAGGGGAAGAGAGGAAAAAATAAAATAAGATGAAACCAGAGTGGGAGACACACCATAAGAGACTTAATCATAGGAAACAAACCGAGGGTTGCTGAAGGGGAGGAGGTTGGAGGGATGGGGTAACTGGATGATGGACATCAAGAAGGGCATGTGATTTAATGAGCACTGGGTATCATATAAGGCTGATGAATCACAGACCTGTACCTCTGAAACCAATAGTCTATTAGATGTTAATTAATTTAATTTAAAAAATATAAAAAAAATAAAAAGGATTCTATTAGAAAAATCTAAGGATATACCAGTAGTCTATTAGATGTTAATTAATTTAATTTAAAAAATATTTAAAAAAAAGGACTTTATTAGGAAAATCTAAGGATTTTTGAAAATGCAAGCAATTTTACTGTTGGTTGTCAGGCAATATTGACTTTAGCTTTATATATTGGTCAACTTCCCAAGACTACCAGAATATCTAATGATTAAAATTAGGAGATTTTAGCTCAAAGTAAACTTAATAACCTAAACATATATGGAAACCTTGTTCCTGACAGTACTATTTGATTAAAGTATCATGTTTATTAAAATGAAGAATGTGGGAAAAGGATCATTTTTATGTAGCAGTAAGGTATGAGTTCTCTAAGGTAAATGGAACATCTCCCAGATGATCCAGCTAGTTGTCTTTCTCTTTCTTTCTCTTTTTGTCATGGTGAAATACTATGCTTTTTCTTTTTTTCCTGTTTGGCTTTTTTTGTTTAATTTAAAATACATTATTGAAAAATTTTGTTGACAATCACAGGATATTTATATATAATATGTATAGATATAGTATGTCTCTACGTTACCATAAGCTGTTATAGGGAAGGCTTTAAGAAGGAGGTAAAATTTGAACAGGTTCTCAAGGTTATATAGTATTTGAATATATAGAGAGTCCTAAGAAAGGTTATTTAACTCTGGCACGTTTGAGAAAAGGTGCTGCAGTGGAAATGAGCAGAGCCAGGAGGCTAGCATGCTGTTGTGGGTTTGGAGGTTAAGTTAAAAAAGATTGGGATCAAATCATGAAGTATCTTAGATGCCTAACAAGAATGATTGGACTTTATATTTGGGAAGGGGGTGGAAACGCAGAGTACAAGCAAAGGAATAATATGAAGAAAATAGTACTTTGGACAACTTAACCTGAAAGAGGTTTATAGACAGCTTGGATTGGTTCTGGGTAAATTAGGTAGGGAGATTAATTAAGAGGCTCTCTCCCTTTCTCCATAAATTCCATTAATCAAGGTGTTAATTGATTAGACTGGGCTTAAAATTCAAGAGGATGGAGCAGAAAAGATGAATGAGGGAGACTGGGTGAAACCAGAGGACTGAATACAGACAGGCCACAAGGGAACTGAAGGAACTAGTGGTAATTAATGATTTGACAAAGAAATAGGAAACTTGGGTCAAAGAATTTTCCTAGTGCTGAGTTGTTACAAGAAAAAAATACCATCTGATGTTTAGAAAGTCTTAACTTGATGTACTCTCTAAGTAGCTTTATATTATTGGTATTTTTTTCTTTGTAACATTATTGAAAGTCAGGGAAGGTCTGTGGAAGAGTTTGGACTTTATCCTAAAGGCAGTAGGGACCACAGAAAAGCTATGCTCGGATCTGTAGGGTAGGCCAGTGACTGGTGGAGGATAAGGAATGCATTGTGGAGCAGCAGGGCTGAGTGTGGAGAGTGGAGAGGACGCTTGGCAGAGTCCAGGTACATGTGATGGTGGCCTGGGCAGTAACAGTATGGATGAGAATGTGGATGAATTAGAAGGATGTTCAGCTGATCAAGCACATGAAGCTTAGGGATTGATTGCACAAGTCCTATAGAAATCACACTGTTTTTGTTTTTGTTTTTTTCAGGCAGATATATTATTTACCCAAAAGCATGACATGGTAACAGGACTTAGATCTCTTAGGTCAATATTCTTTAAGCTAACAGCTGTTTTTATTATGCTTGAAAATTATATCAGCTACTAATAATTTTATATGTTGAAAGAAAAATTCAAATGTTTGGACAAGAAGAGAAAGGCATAGGGATAAGGCTGCTGAGGAGTTTCTCAACTGTTAAGAGGCATGGATAGATCCTCTATTCCAAAGCATCATTTTGCAGCTGAGACTGAGGTCTGGTGTGGTTTGTGACAGTCCTAGAGCTGCCCAATAACAGAACCATGATTAAATCTCAGTTCTTCTAATTCATAGCCCTATACTCTTTTATCATTATTTCACTAGGATTTTTAAATATAAAATAGAATATTGCTTAATTCTATTATTCATGCTTCCCAAAGTATCTGAATTACTTAGGAAGTTAAAAGAAAAATTCCTAGAGAACTTCAAATGATACTTATGGACCAGAATAAGAGATGGTTATTAGCCATTATTTATTTATTTATTATTATTTTTTTTGCTTCAAGAATGTTATATAATCTTACTGCATAGAAGTGAGAAGGGAGAGGTTGAGAACTTTGTAACATGACACCTACCTGAGTCTAGGCTGCCATCTGTGGGTTGGTCGTGTGCTTCAAGATACCAGTAGAATGGAAGACAGGCTGCCTGATCTATGCCTTTAGCCCCATCTGCTGGATTGTTTGTGAAATACTTATGTTTGTTGACTAGATTTTTCAAATTAATTGGCTATGCTGTGTGCTAGTCTTTACTGTTGAAGGAAGGTAGAAGTGGAATTTAATTTAAATTTTGTATCCCAAGTGAGGCAAAAATTCTAGGATAATAAGTTTAGAATTAAATATAAACCTTTAGCCTATACCATTCCTTATGTCATTTAATCAGGGATCAAGAAGAAGTAATAAAATTTTAAGTTTTATTTTGAAAGAAGAAAGGAAAAATTCTTGGGCAGACAAGAACAGTAGCTACCACAGAACACTGCAGAAATTCCTTTTCAGCTACACTACTGTAATGTGATTGCGGTATTCAGGGTCAAGGTTGGTAGCTGATCTGCTCAGGGATTTGTGGGAGTAAGTGGCTTAATGATAGGCCCACAAAACCATTCAGTGGGAGGGGGAGTTCTCTAAGGGAAGAGATGCTGAACAGATGAAAATAATGTGGCCTTCAACAAGAAAGATAAATGCATGGCAGTATTATCACTGAATGGCAGAGATGAATATTCAGAGACAAGACAGAGTAACATGTCTTGGCATCTTCTGAAAAGAATAGTGAAAATTTTGAGCTTGACTTTAAACATTTAGTCACTGGGTTTTTGGGAATTTAAATTTTTATTGGATGTTATTTATACCATGGGCACTTTGGAATTCTTTTGGGTAGAGATTGTTAACTACAGGCTCTAGCGAGCCTCGGTATTCTTTAGTGTTAGATTAGGACCTCTGTTGGCTGACAATTGCTGTAAACTGTATGGGCTAGGCTTTGTCAAATTTTGTTATTTTTACTTGAAATCCCTTTGTGATGCTTATGCCAGTTCTCACATGTACCATGGAGCCTTCTGTAAACACATTCTAGATGGAGTTCATTGTTTTTCTGTTCATTTGATGCATGGCAAATGCTCTCCTAGCACATACAGCTTCCATTTTACATACTGGTTCTGCTCTTCAGGCTACAGAATCAACTTCTTTAAGTTAAGCACTGTCTTTTACCTCCCTGTCTACCTTAGGAGTACACTCAATTAATGGTTAGCTGCTTGGTTAGTGAAGGACTCATGACTTTAAGATTTTTGAAAAAGGGAGCCTTAGAATTTTTAGTGTTCACTAAAAGCCATTGAAAATCGAAATTTCATTTTTATCAGAAAGACTTTTGAACTGGATTTATGTGTAAGGAATAAACTTTCTCTTTCAGGAAGCTTGAGAACTCCTTAAATAAAGTCTTCATTTTAAAATTTTTCATCTATTTTTTTTTTTCACTGAATGCTTACTATAGCTGAGCCTTGCCCGCAGGGATCTTTGCTAGATTATATCTTCTGCCTCCTGTTCAAAGGAACTGTATCTCCAGAATAAGAAAGATGAACTTCTTCCAGATGGTGGGAGAGCATCTTAGAGTTCCTTTTCTTCTCTGCTGATATTTTATAGTTGCAACTGAGAGTGTCAAGATTCCTGCCATTTTCCATTACCTACATGTTGCCATATCTACTCCAAAATGAAACCTAATAGGTCAAAAAGTTTTCCCTTTTCACTAGCTTTGTCTTCACAAAATATTTGGGCTTTGGAACAGTCAATAACTATGGGCAGTGTTGACCAACAACACTACTACCACGTAGATGGGAAGTTAAGAGGCTGGGCTAATATCCTTGTCAGAAATAGAGCCCCAGATGTCTGGTAGAGTTTATTCTTTTGATTCACTTGATCAGGTTAGCAGATGTGAAATATAGTTTTTTTCACTCCATGACAAAAACCCTTTCTGTTTACTAAAATTTCAGCATGTCACGGGACATCATAGTTCCTATAAGACATATATATATGTAATGTAGCATTTAACTATATCTCCTTTTAAATTGCTTTTTTTCATGTCTCCCCATATCTTCTAATTATATACACACACACACACACATAATATAAATATATATATACACACACACACGTATATGTGTGTATATATATGTATACACACATATACATGTGTGTGTGTGTGTATATATATATATATATATATATATATTCATTCTGAGTGTGTTTAATACAGTCCCTTCTTAAATAATATTCCTTAATACCACTTAGCCAGTAATACTTATAGGCGATTTCTAAAGGTTTTGGAATTGCTTCAGTTTTATTAAATATTTTACACTAAACTGTTCTCCATAGGCAGGAGAGTTAAGAGAGTTGTCTAGTGTTCTTTCTTTTTTACCTAATGTTACTGAAAGGCATAACAAGCTATCTTTTTATAGTATATTGCTTCCTACTGTGCTTATGCTAACTGTTGTTTCTGTTGAAATTTGCTAAAATAAAAAAAAAGGCATATAATAATTTGGGGAAATTGTTTTTATAAGTCTGTAGAAGAGAAGCTTTCTCTAGCACAGGAGGACTTGATTTCAAACAGAAATCAAATTGGAAACCAAAATAAATTGATTCAAGAACTCAAAACTGCCAAGGCTACATTGGAGCAGGAATCAGCAAAGAAAGAACAGCAGTTGAAGGAGCAGTATAAAACACTACAAGATGTCCAGAAAGAAAAGGTATTTCATTTTCTGACTAAATCTAGAATCTGAGAGTTACAATGGCCTTAGAAATCATCTAGTCAAATCTCTTACCTGATATAGGAGTCACCTTTATCTTCAGCAGCAGCTCTCCTTAGATGGACTTCTGGTGTCTGATACAATACTTGTGATCATTGGATTTTTGATGCTATGAAGTACTCTTAATAGCTCCTTTATCATTTCTACTCATTTTTCTTTTTGCTCTTTTTAGTTTTATAAATCTTTTTCATACCATGGACCTCTGGTTATTTAAAAACAGGTGTTATAGCTCCACAACTATCTCATATAACATTTTCTAGTGTGTGAATGAAAGAAAAAGGTCTAGAAGTAATGCTTAGCTTATAATTCTTAGAATTCAGAGCCAGGTCTTTCTAAGGGAAGTTCGAGTATATTTTACATAAATGTGCTAAATTATAGAGTTGAAAGCCTTCTATTATATGACCAATACTTTTAAAAGTCAGTTAAAGTACTATATGAAAGAGAAATTTGGATTCTAGGAAGCATTTTATTTCTGGCTTCATAGTTGAAATCACATTATTTTTATCAGCTGATAGGATATCATTCTGAAGTTTACAATTCCAGAAATTCATTGGTATATCTTAATTGTGCAATTCTTGAAAGTCTCTTTAATTTAAAAAAATGGGGGATGTTTTTGTTGGGGTGGGAGTTTGAAGCTGACGTGATATTCATGATTCGTGCCTCAAGTTTAGAAAATTTTGAGACAACTATAGCATATAGGCCTTTAGTTACAAGGGCTTTGGATCAGTCAGACTTTGTTACAGTTTTGACTGCACCGCTAATAGCTTATTTAACTTCTCTGAACCTTTGTTCCTTTATTATCAAATGAGGATTAAAAAGAGCTATTTAGTATAAATATCAAATTAGATAATATGTAATATCACTACGTAGGTGCCTTAAATGAAGATATTTCTGGTAATAATAGTAATAATAACAGCATTAAAGAATGGTAGTTTTGGCTAAATTTTATAGTGTTCTTACTTTGGCCAGACACTATTCATTTTATGGTATTAACATTAACTATTTAATGCTTATAAAGATCTTACTGTTGTTCACATTGTATAAATAATGACACAGAGGCAAGTGAAGGTAAGTAGTTTGCTCAAGTTAACTTAGGTAGAAAGGGGCAGAGACAGTATCATAAATAGTTGTAGTTATTTTATTACATTGATTTTCAGTTAAGTATTTTAAAATTACTTTTTAATAAATTATTTTTCTACAGTCACTGAAAGAGAAAGAACTAGTAAATGAAAAATCTAAATTGGCAGAGATAGAGGAAATTAAGTGTAGACAGGAAAAAGAAATTGTTAAATTGAGTGAAGAACTCAAGTCCCACAAGCAAGAAAGCATAAAGGTATGTTAAAATAATCATTGTTCTTCCCTCTGTACTGTATTATTGTCATTTAAATTAAAAAATACATACATTATTGGAAACCTACTATGTGCCAGATGTGTTGTTTCATCATTTTGACAAATGCTCTCACTGTTGTGCTGCATAGTATCTATATACATATATTGAAACTATGTTACTTATGTTTTCAGCTTACTGAATAAAGCAAAGTAACTCTAAAAGTTTAGATTTGTTGAGATGATAATCAAGAGAGCTATTGATTTAGGGGTACCTGGGTGGCTTAGTTGATTTAAGTGTCCTACTCTTGATTTCAGCTCAGGTCTTGATCTCAGGGTTGTGAATTCAAGCCCTCTATTGGGCTCCATACTGGGTTGTAGAGCCTAATTAAATAAATAAATTTTTTTAAAAGTTGGGGGGGCACCTGGGTGGTTCAGTTGGTTAAACATCCCACTCTTGGTGTCAGCTTAGGTCTTGATCTTAGGGTCACGGGTTTGGGCCCCACCTTGGGTTCTATGCTGGACATGGAGCCTACTTCAAAAAATAAAAAAGAAGAGCTATTGATTTAGAAAATGATGTTTATAGATAGTAAGCTAAAAAATAGAGTCTAAAACTAAGATTTTTATGGGATTGTGTTTTTTCAATTGTTTTTCTTTCCTAAAATTTTTAATAATCTGTTCTGAACATTTTTCCTGTCATAAGAATAATAGGATGTCAGTTGAAAAAACCAATTGTCTATAATTTGCTTTGTAAAAAATTATTAAATTTCTTAGAGAAAGGTTAAATTCTCTCTTGAGTGCTCTCACTACCTTTTATGTCTAACAATATAGTTATCATTTTGGTTTATAATTAATTATCTCTTTATATCATTATATTCTTATATACTGTGACTTCCGTAAAGCAGGTAATGTATATAATTCATCTCTATATGTCTTCTTAAAAACTAACACAGTGTGTGATGCCTAAGCAGTGACCAATGAATGCTGGCTAAGTGAAGAAAGGGAAAATAGGGGGTAGGAGTTTTTCCATAATTGAATCAAAATATGCATGTAAAGTTATTACTTGAATCTAAATGTTTATTGAGCAGGAAGTAAATAATCTTTCATCTTTTAAACCAATTGTTTAAAATAGTGAACTTTAAGGATCTCCTAAGAGGAGAGATTAAAACTCATATTGTATGTATTGTTATGATAACTTGTCTAAATTTCAGCTACATTTGGAAACATTTACCATAAAGGATGATTTACTTTTGGCCTTTTTCAATAGGAGGTAACAAATCTCAAGGATGCCAAGCAGCTTTTGATTCAGCAGAAATTAGAACTTCAAGGGAAAGTAGATTCCTTGAAGGCAACCCTTGAGCAGGAGAAGAAAAACCAGCAAATGCTAAAAGAACAGGTGAAAAAGGAAGAAGAAGAACTGAAGAAAGAATTTACTGAAAAGGAAGCTAAACTGGTCAGTAATTTTATGGTGGGGAGTGTGTTTTGAGATTGATTTTGTAAGTCAATCCAATAACAGAGGATTTTTCTTAGAAGTTAGGATTTAAATGCTCTTACCTAGCATTTTAATTTTTGATTGAGAAAAGAGATCTGATTTATTTAAAGAGCTGGCATGTATTGGAAATATTTTAGTCTGTAATTATATTTTGGTTTATATAAATAAAAATTCAATAAAACTTAATTCAAAAAAATGAAAACCTTTCAGTGCCAGAAAAACAAACAAATCCACAATTGTGTAGGTTGAGGTAAATGGCATGGATTGCTAATGATGTTGAACTCATTTGTTTAGTCCAAGTGAATGTTGATAAGGGAGAACGGAAACTTCAGTTTGGAATTTTGATGACCAAAGTCTACTTTTCCTTCCCTAAATTGTGCATGCCAAAATGGGAAGCATCTGGCTTTCCTCTATTGAATTAAGTCCAGATATCCCCCCTCGTAACTTGAATGCTGAATGTTTTAGTTGAAGGTTTGCAATTTCAAGTTCACACAGTGATCTGAGGGGTTTGTATTTTTTGTTTGTTTTTTTGTTTTTGTTTTGTTTTGTTCGGTTTTTGGCAGGTTGATAGACAAAAAGATGCATGTGGAACTTGAGACGGATAAGCCAGCTTTGCGTCCAGGGCCCTTTGCTATCCTTAACTATGTGTTCTTCCTCTGCGCTAGTGAGAAAAGGAAAATATCTCAAATTGCTGTATGTTCATTGGTGTTAAAGATGCTTGCGGACCATCATTTCAGCATAATGGCCTTGAGCCAGTTCAGATTACACAGATGTTTTTGGAATTAGTTTTATTAGTGTAAAATGAAATACATTCTCCTGCCTTCTTTCCTGAAAAAGTAATATTATTTATGTTGCCAATATTTTAAATTCAGTAGCTAATTAAATTTATTTTGCATTACTTTTGTAATGGGTTTTTTTTCTCACTGTTCTTCCTTTTTCAGCATTCTGAAATAAAAGAAAAAGAAATAGGAATGAAAAAGCATGAAGAAAATGAAGCTAAACTTACCATGCAGATTACAGCATTAAATGAAAACTTAGGGACTGTAAAGAAGGAGTGGCAGTCCAGTCAACGGAGAGTCAGTGAGCTCGAGAAACAGACGGACGACTTACGGGGTGAAATTGCAGTGTTAGAAGCCACAGTTCAGAATAATCAGGATGAAAGGAGAGCACTACTAGAAAGGTGATTGATGTCTAGTCAAATTAGTTTATTTCCATTCTAAGTGGCAAAAAGATGGTCTTTTTCCACATTTTAAAAAATACAAGTCTTGAGAAAAATGCATGGGTCCTGTATGTATTTATGTAGCCATTTAAAAACTAACCCTTAAAGCAGTCAGATAGTTGAAATTCATGTATTATATTTGAAGTTACTGAAGTAGTTTATTATGTATGTTCTAGAAGGATCTTTATCATTAAAAAAATTGAATGATCTCTTTGCAATCTATTCTAGATGCCTTAAAGGAGAAGGTGAAATAGAAAAGCTTCAAACCAAAGTCCTAGAATTGCAAAGAAAGCTGGATAATACCACTGCAGCAGTGCAGGAACTGGGCAGAGAAAATCAGTCCCTTCAAGTAAGTCATCTGGTAACGTGAGGCTGTTTTTCAGTCTAGAATTGACTCTTAGGGAAAAGCACATTTTCAGTCTTTAAAAGAAATCTCCGATATTTAGTAAATACTTTTGAATGGTTACTTTCTTTGTAGCGGTATTGTGTGTGTTATGGATAGTTAAATAAAAGGGATAAAGAATTTGTCTGAGAGAACCCTGGGATTAGTGAGAAAGCCTTGTCATTCATGAATTGTCAGTACTGGGAAAATTCAGAAACATCAAGGAATAGTTGAGTCACTATTTGATAAAGAAGTGATGGGCTTCGTGCCCAGAAAGGATTGATCATTAAGGTTAGAATGGATGGGAAATCACTAAGGATTAGAAATTACCAGTGCCTTTGAGGACTAAAATTTGATTTACTTTATTTCTTTTGGTCATTCAGACTTAAGAATTTAGCAACTTTTGATGATGGAAAATGACCAAAGTATTTTGGATATTTAAAATTTTATCCCATGGTGCCTATAAGTCAAAATTTTATAAAAGTTGGGCACCAAATTAGAAATTATGCATCATTCTTCAAAATGTTGAATGTTATATGTACAGGCACTTGTTTTTGTTTGTTTGTTTGTTTGTTTGTTTTAATAGATCAAACACACACAAGCGTTAAATAGGAAATGGGCTGAAGACAATGAAGTACAAAACTGTATGGCCTGTGGGAAAGGCTTTTCAGTAACAGTGAGACGGGTAAATTATTTTATTCATATTGCTATGGTTCTGAATTTTATTTCTCAGTATCAATTAATGTTTTAACCATCAGCATAATCTTGCATTTGACAGATTAAAAACATTTTCTATTTGTTGATTTACTTTACAGCTATATAGAATCATTAAATTTTATGCAGTATAGTTTCTGATCAGCATATGTGTTTCGATTTTAGTTTTAGATTTAGTCATTGCCTTTCTATTGAGTTACTCTCTGGAATAATCATTTTCTGAACCAGTGGGCCAGGATTAAACTCATATGTTTTAGTCATCATTGGATTCTTTTAAAGAAAAAGCAGAGATTAAAAAAGGTTTTTTTCTAAATAATACCATGTTATGTTTCAGGTTTATATTCTTATTGATGAAATTATGCCTAAAACACTTGGCAAATAGGAATGGTTTGCACCTGGTAGGATGAGATGCTTTATTATTTTTTAGATGCCTCTTAAGGTTCTTTTGAGAATTCCATGATAAATGCCATATACAATGTTTAGCATAGTATCTGGTAAATAGGAAACACTCAGATTAAGGGATTAAATTGACATACTGAAATGGTATTATTATTAAATAATATACTAATCACTTGAAAATTAATATACCTTCACAGTACAGTCTGCAGTAGTCTTATAGTTTCATAATGCTTTTGGTATAGTTTTTATGCTTGAAATTGTTTAATTTTTGTCATTTACAGCATCACTGCAGACAATGTGGAAATATCTTCTGTGCTGAGTGTTCAGCCAAAAATGCCTTAACTCCTTCTTCCAAGAAGCCTGTTCGTGTCTGTGATGCATGTTTCAATGACTTGCAAGGATAATGGTTATCACAATGTCAGAGTAGTATTACACTAACATTAGATTTTTAATAAATGCACTTAATAGAGGTCTTGGACTACTATTTGATTTGGACAGTGGTTGCAATATTAGACCAAATTAGAATTCATATATTTTGGAATGTTATCAATATCAAGTAAAACTCTTCTATTTTTGTGAGACTTGGGCTCATCTTTCATTACTTTTTTCCATTTAACCCCTGGAACAGCTTTCATGCCAAGTTTAGAATTAGCCAATGAAATGTAAATAAACTTTGGACAGAAAATAGCAATGTATTTTTTTAAATATAATTTCATTGTTCACAAGTGACATGAATACAGTTCCATAGCGTACTTCTTTCTCCCAAATTTAGGATACAAAAATGTACATGGGTGATATATGTTGCACAATAGCACATTAATTATATTAAATACTCTTTGTGAAGTCATGCACAGAACTATAAAACTTTCTTTTTTTTCTTACATATAGGTTCATAGCTCAGTTGCATTATTATGTTATAAATTTACTACTCAAGTATTCTGAATACAGTTTATGTTGAAATATGTATTAACCATGAATTTGAACATGGTTTTTGTTTTAACAATATTGATTAAATTCTCTTGGGTAGATTTTATGAAAACCTCTGTAAAATCAGTTTGCTTACTTTATGGTTATCCTGGGGTGGGTTGTATTTTAAAGATTAGGGTTAATTTTTCTTTTTCTTTGTCTTTTTCTAACTTTTAAACTCTCACATATTTTCAATTAGGAATTCTAGAAAACCTCTCACCCTCACCCCCCAGTTGGAGGATGAATAATAGAAATTGTATAATGGTTCCATTCTCAGTTTCTTATAAGAGGAAAGTTTTCTGAGATTAGCCTTTATATTATACCTTCATATTGTCTCTCCTGCATCTTTGGGAATCTGAGTTTGCTTTTTTAATGGATCTTTGTTTTCCTTTTATTTGGTTTAACCTTTTCTAAGCATAGCTCAGCTTCACTATTGTTTTACAATTTTGCATCTTAAAGCCAGTAACTGATAACGCTCTAGTCTTATCTGCATAAATGAATACAAATGGTAAGGAGATATAAAATATTCTACTTTATATTTTCTTCTTACCTAATAGGGAAACATTTTTGAAAGTTGTTAAAATGATTCTGAATTTGGGGTTCCATATCAGCTGGCAAATCTTTTAATTTTGCAAAAATATTACTATGAAATTACTTCGAAATAACAGCTGGAGAGGAGAGTATCACCAAAAACAAATGTATGTGGGAATCCCAGTTATAATCAGAACTGAAACAGAATGGCTAATTAAGGATAATTAAAAGTTAGTTTATTTGTACGGTGAACAATGGAATTGAATTTTAATTTATTATGGTCTTACTCATTTGGCAAATTGGAAAACTGTAGAGAGGTCATTAATATTGGCTTATTCTTTTTAGAGAAAAAAATACAAAGTTATCAGTTTGTGCAATGTAATCATTTGGTATTATCAGGGAAGGATGGGACTTAATATTTCATTTGCAATGGTTTACCATATACACTTGCTTTCAAATATCATGCTGAAATAAAGTTGTGTTTATGCTTTACCTGTAACATCTAAGAACTAAAAAAGATTGTCATATAATCATTTAATTATTTTTAAAAAGCCATTTAAATAAGTCTTGCTGTCAGTAGCTATTAAGGACCCTGGTTGAGGCCCTCAGTTTGTATAGACATATATTCTTCAGCTTATATAAAGAAGAAATGCAATGACTCTTTATTAAAAATAATAATTGGATAATATAAATTGAGCTAAAATTATTTGAGCCTTTTCATATACTTATAAATCCTTTCAAATAGTCTTAATTCTATACTTTAACACATAAGAAACAGTATGAAACTTAGGAACTTTCTGCTTTGGAAAAATGGATACTCATAGCACCATTTTTTGTTTGTTTTTGTTTTTGTTTTAAGATCATAAAACTTCACGGGATTATAGATTCAAGTATTTGTTCATTTCGTCTCCTAATTGGGTGCACTGAAGGCCTTTTCCCTGTCTTGTCCCCCCACCCACATATTCCCCCCCAAATTGTGGGGACAACAAATAAAATCATATGTGTTTGAGTCATTTTCTAGTTTTCATCTAGCTAACCTTATTTCATAGATCCTGAATAATTTACCACAGGCTACTATACTAATAATATTGGAAATGAAACCTTTTCTTTGTTGTTGTTTATTAACTTTCACTAATTTAAGATGTTTTAGAAACAGAAAGGATTTTCTTTTTCTTTTAATTAAAGTCATCTTCTGAGTTCTTATTGGCTCTACATTTTAGATGTTTGCTGGTACTATTTGTCAGTGAGTTAGAACTCGCATGTCTGAGCTGTTGGCTCTAACGCAAAGTCTTTTGGCATCACTTGTTAGTAAATTCCAAACCCCAGCACAGAAATGTGAATTAAAATCAAGTTTTGCTGGGTTAGTGTACAATAAACTATACCTACAGATTTTCTTTAATAGGAAGAAGAGAAAGCTGCTGGTATAGGATTAGTTCATTTTGAAGAAAAAAGAGGGAAACAAACACAAAGACCTCAATGCAGTGTACAAATAACATTTTGTTCAACTACCTCTTAATGTGGAATTAGCTAGTTTAATAGTTTCCTCACCGTAATGTTAAATAGTAACTGCCAAATTTGTTAGTTTCCCATCTCTCTTAGAAAGGCTTTAAGATTATTTTATAGTTTTGAGAACTTTGAAGCCACTTTTTTTTAACTTTGCATTTGCATAAAAATGTTTAGCTTTTAAGTGGAGAGCAAATTATGATCATATATTTTGATATTCATGACCTATTTGACTATAGCAATTTTTTTTTAATGCACTTTGGCTATAAAACCATGGATGATTTGATCCGTAAGATTTAAATGTGCCATCAATTTAGTATTCCTAGACATGAGCTTGATGAATGGTATTCTGTAATTATAATGTGCCACACATTATGGTGTCTTAATTGCCCTTTGCTTGAATTTTAATGATCAATTTGTTATTGTTGCAGATGTGAATATTGTGCATAAACTTACAAAATTTATGTAAAGTTGTATAAAGTAGAATTGGAAATAGCTAAGTTCTTTCTGTGTAGAAGTAATGAATTTATTGTAACATGATGCAGTTATATATATGACATTGTGTACTTCCTTGAACTGGATCATATATTCATAGTTTCTATAGAAACTTGTGCATGAATATTTTCTCATTTAGGTTTTCAATTCATTATTTGTATTGTGTTTACTACTTGTGATCATGTAGTTGTGCCTTATTTTTGTGAGAGAGTTTAGCTCAGTAAATACTGGAATTTCTAAACTCAGTGAGTGGAAGGTTATTGATTATAAATGTAACATAAATTACACAACAGCATTTAAATCTGTATAGAGAACAATGGAAGGATCCTTATTGAATTGTTGCTTTTGTTTTTTTTAATTTGTTAAAGATGATATTAAAAAACCGTTTCTTTCTAGTAGCTGTATTCTGTGACTGTAAATTATTTTGCCTATTTAAAAAAGAGTACAAAACGGTAACCGTTTTGTATATATTTACAGAACGTTAGAACGTTCTACTTAGGTGGAGGCAGGGGTTAAGCTTTGATGTTCAACTTAGAGTAGTAAGTTCATAACTTGAAGAGAAATTACTAAAGCCATTTTGCTTAGGACATTCTCTTTTCATTGCATTCATTATTGTGGAAAATTAATAAGCTACAAAGAAATATTAAACAATATTGAAGTAATTCCTTCTTTCATTGTTTATCTAAGTTTAGTACCCAGGTGACCATTTAAAGAGTCTTTTCTTAGGGCTCAGTAAGCCATCATTTTTTACTGTGTTTTTCCTGGGAACCAAAGTTCCCGAAGTTTTTTTTCATTTTACTCTAATGTGTGCTTGCCTCTAAAGAGTTTAATATGTATGTTCTTAAGGACTTACTAGATTATGTATTAGATACGTTCTTTTATGAGATTTGTAGAATTTCAGTTTAAATATATAGCATATTCTTTTTTTTTTTTTAAGATTTTATTTATTTATTTGATAGACAGAGATCACAAGTAGGCAGAGAGGCAGGCAGAGAGAGAGGGGGAAGCAGGCTCCCCACGGAGCAGAGAGCCCAATGTGGGGCTCAATCCCAGGACCCTGGGATCATGACCTGAGCCAAAGGCAGAGGCTTTATTTAACCCACTGAGCCACCCAGGCACCCCTGTACAGTGTATTCTTTTAAAAATTCTATTGTGGTAAGAATGCCTAACATAAGATCTACCCTCTTTGACAGCTTTTTCAGTGTATAGTACAGCAGACCTCTAAAGATTCCTCATCTCATTTAGCTGAAATTTTATACCATTGATTGGTAACTCCCCATTTCCCCCTCTCTTGGAAACCACGTTCTACTCCGATTCTGTGAATTTGACTATTTTCAATACCTCATGTCAGTGGAATCACACAGTACTTGTCTTTCTGTGACTGGCTTATTTCCCTTAGCGTAATGTCCAAGGTTCATCTATATCATTGCAAGTTGCAGAATTTCCTTCTTTTTAAGTTTGAAACAGTATTCCATTGTATGTGTGTACTGCATTTTCTTTATCTGTTCATCCTCTGATGGACATTAAGGTTTCTTCCGCTTCTTCGCTACCGTAAATAGTGCTGTGATGGACACAGGAGTGTTAATATTTCTTTGTACATAGCGTATTCTTAATCTGTTTTACATCTTGACACTAATTTACTCAGTCTTTCTCTCCCTCAAATGAGATTTCAGGGTAAAATTAGTTCTTTATACATATAAATATTTACTGGACTCATGGGACTTTAAAAAAGGAATCCAGAGAGATTGTCTAGTTACAGTCCATTGTCCTCCTCTTGGCTTGGTTTATAGCTAAAAATTCCTGCAAGAGGATTGTTATTTTTTTCTAAAAAATATATATATTATTTTTTGGCCAGAAATTTCTAAGTCTTCTCTTACATGAATCTGTATTGTCTTCTCCTGGAAATAATTGCTTTCAATCCCATCTGGGTGCCATCTCTAGGAGCTTACTTGAAGTCTAGTCCCTGTTCTCTGCTCGTTTTTTTTTTTTTTCTCATTTATTCTTAGACATTAACAGTAATTATTGTTTTCCAGATTTTTCTCTTATTTCTACCAGTTCTTGATAAATATCTGAGATTATTATACAGAGACTGTGACCCTCCTTTCTAATAGTGCTTGGTTCTTGTAGAAGAGCCTTTATGCTGTACTTGTCTGTCCTGCCTGGTTTACTGGTGAAGTCTGTGTTTTTCTCAGAGAATTAACTGTGCACATGACTTTCTCAGGCATCATCCTCTCTATCCCATCCTCCAACTTAAAGAGATCAGTTAATGTCTCACTTATCTTAAAGCCCAGATTGATTGATTTAATACTTCCATTTTGGAAATTGCAAAAGTTACCAATCCTAAATTGAAATTTGTGGATTTCCTTTTGATATAATCTGACTATAAGAACTAGTTTTTTAAATGCAGTTAATAGTATATTCTACCATGACAATATAGTAATTCAAATTGTCTTTCTTTGTAAGAATTCCAATGATGTTTCAAGTCCTTCCTGCCAAATAAACTTGACTGTACTGTGCTAACACACGTGCGTGCGCACACACACAAACATGCACACACCACTTAAAACCAGAAAGTGGTTTTATGACACATTCTTCCAAAAGTGAGGTTCAAAGAAAGACTATTTCTATTAAATCTTAACTATTTCTATGAAAATCTCCTATGTAAAACTGTTAACCAGTGAAACTGAAATACTTTTTTTTTTTCTTAAAATAAGGAAATTTAGTCTTTGGGATTTTCTACTTCTAAGTTAGGTTATTTTAAAATATACCTGAGATAAGCAAACTGTTGGCAAATAAGAATTTAAAAACTATTAAATATAGACTTATTGCTTAATCTGTTAGAAGAGCAAAGTTTATATCCGAGTTAGAATTGCATGTGAGGTAGGACTCTAAAGCAGTAAGACTGATTTACAAACCATGTAGGAAATTTGTATTCATTATTGACATACTCGAAGTGAGATGCTAGAACTCACATTGAGCACAAGCAGGGGACATTGCTTTCCTCCTGACACTCCATCCATCTGACCTTTCACCCTTTACAAATTCTAATAGCACCATCCTTCACTCACATCTCTCGTAAGTCCTGCCAAGACATTACAAGGTAGTCTAGATAACACTATGTACCTGCCAAAAAATTCCTCAGAGTTCAAATTTTTTGCAGTCATTATTCCTCCATAGTGAGGATTTTCTTGGCTCAAAATCTCAAATTCTGGACCTCCTTTAAAATACAAATTTCCTTCCAGCTCATCACTAAATAAGTATTACAAAAGTTTGAATGAGGGGCGCCTGGGTGGCTCAGTGGGTTAAGCCTCTGCCTTCAGCTCAGGTCATGATCCCAGGTTCCTGGGATGGAGCCCCACATCGGGCTCTCTGCTCGGCAGGGAGCCTGCTTCCTCCTCTCTCTCTCTGCCTACCTCTCTGCCTACTTGTGATCTCTGTCTGTCAAATAAATAAAATCTTAAAAAAAAAAGGTTTGAATGAAAGAGTATCTTAATCCCTAATGTCTAAAAAGATGCACCACTTGTTTTAGGTCCCTAAATGTCAGAGGATTCTGCAGGCAATGTAAAGATATATTCTTGGTTTCCTGATTCTTGGTGAAGCAAGAGACCGCTGCTGTTACTTGTGCCGTCCACATTTCCTGTTTAAAATATATATGGGGGGGCGGAGGGAGAATGTTGTCAATTTTTCACATATTTGGACTAATATTTTCCTTTTATTTATTGACTTGCTCTTTAAAACTGAAGACTAATGAAACATTGCATATTTCCCATTTTCTTTCTTAAACCTAATATATCATAAAATAGCTCTAATCATGCATGAAGGTGCAGATGGATTAAATGAATATGGTATGGAAGAAGTTGGGAAAACAGTTATGAGTAATCAAGGAACCATAATAGTCAATGATGACTAATTAGAAAAATGAGCACCGAGAATATAAATAGTTTGAAAGTTCAATTTCTTGAATTTCCATTTTGTATGGAAATAGTGGCGTACTTTGGAAAACAGACTGAGGAGGTGACCCAGGAAGTTGAGTTATTAAGAATAATGCAAATACTGCATTAATTGTCAGGCCATGTTGCTGCTATGATGAAAACCTTCCTGGAGAGAGATAAAAATGGAAACTGCTAAGATAGAGAAACCAGAGTCAGGCAACCGCTTTCCCCCTCCATAGATGTATCAACACTGGCGTATTTTCCTTTCTTTTTTAAACACTGGCATATTTTCAGAGGTGGTTCATTATTGCAGTAGCCCCTCATTTAAGCTGACATCACACCACTTGAATTTCAGGACTTTGAAAATTGATTGAACACCTTAAAAGTCAATCATGCAATCCGAAAGCAGTTCTTTCCCCCATTGTGTTCCGTAAGCTGCAGAACTTAGAGGCAGCCCTTGAGCTTCTGGTCCAGGAGAAAACGAAGGGGGCTGTGTCAACTGTGAGAGTGTAAGGAAACGGACAACTCTTGAGATTGCTCAGCATGATACGGACTTTGTGTCCACATCCTTCCCCTCTTAACTCCCGCCTCTCAGAGCTGGTAAAGGAAATATACAAAATTTCCCATTTCCCATTACTTAAGAGGGTTGGAGTGAGATTCCCCCCCCACCCTTATATCAAGTCTGAAGAAATCCACGCTATAAAATCAAATAGATACTCTGATGTTTTCCGTTTGGGCTTGTAATAAGAAAGGTGCTATATACTGTCCATACCTGTTTTCATGTTGTACCAGGAAAGCATTTCTCGGCCGGAATGCTGGAAAGAGATTACAAAGATGAAAGAAATCCATTAATGTGAAATCCAGATTCTCAGTACAAGAACCTAGAGTATTTGTTTTAATGAACCTGAGAGGTTTATGTAGATTACAAAAAAAAAAAAAAAAGAAAAGAAAAAGTAGATTCCAAGACCAAGACTTCACTGCTATGTCCAAATAGAGCCCACTTAAATATGAAAACCCTTTCTTCCTTACTTAAAGACAGGTGGGACTTGATGAAATGCAATTATGGCTTACCTGATGGAAAATGGGCATCATCTAGAAGAAATTTAGCATGTTAGGTGGATAGTATGTATGTAAAATATAGACAATAAAACATGGAAAAGAATAACTATTGTTTCTCTGACTTCCACAGCTCCTTTTTAAAATGTTGCTTTTGTATTTAAAGTGAAATCATAGCAAAACTAGGGTTATAAACAAATTAAGATGTAACAAAAATACCAAATCTGAGTCCTTCACAACAGGCCAAAAAATTGACTCAAAATTCAGCCTCTACCAAACCATGTGAAATGTGAAACAAAAAGAAGTGTTGGTGAGGTTTCTGCACTTGAAAAAAAGTAGTCTGTTCTGTCATTTCCTACCTGGTCTTTTGAAGAAAAGACAGGAAATACTGGGAAAGCAATTCCTTCCCCCCTCCCTAAAATTTTATTTATCTTTTGGAGCGAGCACAAGCAGGGGAGCAGCAGGCAGAGGGATTGGGAGAAGCAGGCTCCCACTGAGCAGGGAGCCAGATGCGGAGCTCCATCTCAGGACCCTGGGATCATGACCTGAGCTGAAGCCAGAAGCTTAACTGATGAGCCACCCAGGCACCACCACCCCTCTCTTTTCTAAATGTAGCAGGAGCTTTTAAACGGAAAGCTTCTCCCTTGAATTATTAATACCACACAGGGAGTAAAATTCTGCAGCCTATATAGTTAATCATATCTAGGAACAAATAGAGAGCCAAACCAGGCTTGTCCTCTGGTCACATCAGGTAGAACCTAAGGGTGGAGGAGGAGGCACAGACTCTTATTCCTGGCTGATTCTTACGCTGATGCTTGCCTGCTGTCATTATTTGTATTTGATTAAATGTGTGGCTTTAAATCAGACTCATCGAGGTTGGGCCTCATTTCAGAATTAAACCGAATACAAGACTTTTATTTTCTTAACTGCGGGAGCCCTTGTAGCATCACGGGTAATATTCATAGCAGTCTAAAACCTCTTAATGCCTAAATTCTGCCACAATGACGTCTGTTAAGGTCATGAAATTCTGTCCAGCTTCTCTGCGATGAAAGGGCTATTAAAATGACTTTCTGGAAAAAACCTCATGGGTTTGTTTTACTCCCTGATTTTTGTTCCTTATAAATTCCCTGTAGCAAGTCAGGCTTTACAGACCAGGTTGTTGTTCTTGGCTGGATTTTGGAATTCATTTTCCTCAAAAACTGCAACTGTAGTTGTCAGTTCTTCAAGGCATCCCTCATCTGTTTGATTTGTAATATGGGTACAAGGGACTTCATAAGCAAAAAGAACTGGTCAAGCCAAGCATGTAAAATAAAATGAGGAGAGAAAATAATATGGTCAAGAATTGCCCTTTTTCTTGCCTGACATTCTAATATAATAATTATAATAACTGACACCATTTATTAAGCCCTTACTATGTACTGGGCACTGTGCTGTTTTTTCTTTTGGCCGGGGGAGGGGGGTATCATTTAAACCACACAGCAACCAACTAAGTCCTCTAGTTCTTACTTAGGAATGAGGAAACAGATTTCGTTTTTCCAAGGTCACCCAGCTTGTAAATGATTCAGCCAGGATTTGAAACGGGGTTGTCAATCATTCCAAAGCACTATCTCTTCTTTTTTCACCCTTTATTCTTTCCCACTCTATAGCTATTTTGGTTCATGCACTGTTAACTTCAACAGTCAAAACAATTAGATGAGGAGAATGAGGAAAAAAAAATACGTGTATATAAAACAAGTTGGTAGTAACAAATCAGAAAATAACAAAAAATGGTGGATGTATAGCTTTAAAAAAATACTGTTTTTATTAAAAAAAAAAAAAAAAGACTAGAGGAGAAAAAGCATGTATTTCCCAAGGTGATCCAGTGATGTGAGATCTCCCAGAAAGTCAAGTTCTTAAAGGTGATGGGGCCATCGCTAACCTGAGCCCGCAGCCCCAGCTGCTTCTGCTTTTCCGCTGTGGTTCTGACGGCTTCCTCCCCTCAAGTCCATTTATCATCTTCTAACTATGGCCACTGTAGTGAGAGAAAAAAATTCCTGCTCTAGGATAGCCTCTGCTAATGATGTTTCTCCCCGTGAAAAAGTAAACTAAGCAAACAAAAGTGCATCCAAGACTCACATACCGAGTCTCTGCCTGTCTACACTGCTCTGCCATCCACTGAGAAGGGCGGAGGCTCCCACAGGGACAAGGCTGGGGGTGCACTCAAGGCAACGGCTTTTCTCCCCTGAGATGCCCCTATTTAGGATTTCTCTAGAAACGTCCTCTGGCTTAGGCACACTTTGGTCTATAAAGACTGTAAGCAGTTCCAACCAATTCAGATACGCAGCCTTTCAGCCTGACCACGTCACATTTCAGCAAATCTTGGTGAAAGTGGAAAGAAAAGACAGAAGACAGAAGGCTCGGGTGCTGGATGCAGGTTTCCCCTTAGTGGAGCCCTTCTGCTCCTGGGGAGAGCTTGCTTCCATTCATGAGTAACATGTAAAGCATTTCAATATATACCTTGGTCGTATAATGTAACTATGTCAGTGTTTGCTATCATGATTATTTGTGTGTATTCATTTACTCATTGTGTAATATTTCTCCACTGTGTTTACAGTGGTCCTGTGCTAGTCCTTGGAGCTCTGGGCTTGGCTGCTGGGTTGGGAATTGAGGGGCATAGGAAGTGCTCCCTGTTTTCCTGTTCCTGCCTTAGGGCAGGAAGGTGGTCTCCTACCCCCCAGTGCCCCCCCGCCCCAAACGCTGATCAACTACTGTACACTAAGTACCCCCTCTTATTACTATTTGCAGCTCAGGAGTGAGTGAAGGACACAGTAAACCAGGGTCTGAGCCTCCAAGTTTCTGAAAGTAAAGAAGAAAATAATGCAGTAAAAATAAGAAGTAAATACTTGTGCGCATAACTAAAATGCATCCTTAACAAATTGATTTTTTAGAAACAGTTGCTTGAACTCCAGCTAACTCTTTTATCTGGATCTTGAAAAGTGTTCCCTCCAATTCGTCATGATTTAAAGTGTTAAAGTACATAGTATTCCTGATTTCCAAGTTCAGTTGTCTGAATAAATAATGGGTGATGTCCACAACAGGGAAACATTGAGGTCTTTATCACATTGTTCATTTCCAGTGTCTCTCTCTAGTACTTTATATGAATCAGAAAGGGGAGCCTCATTCTGGCCAGCTCTGTCCATGGAATCTAATACTAAGTCTAAATCAATTCCACGCCTATAATTTACAAATAACTGAATGATTTTAGATGCTGAATATAAGATGCTCAATTTTTTTTTTTAAAGATTTTATTTATTTGACAGAGATCACAAGTAGGCAGCAGCAGGCAGAGAGAGAGGAGGAAGCAGGCTCTCCACTGAGCAGAGAGCCCGATGCGGGGCTTGATCCCAGGACTCCGGGATCATGACCTGAGCCGAAGGCAGAGGCTTTAACCCACTGAGCCACCCAGGCGCCCCAAGATGCTCAATGTTTTAAAAAAGTGTCAAAGATTATGATTTGCATGACATATCATGTGCCTCAAATAGCAAAGAGGAAAGAAAATAGAAAGGAATTTAAAACAGATAACATTCCTTATTTTGGAATCAAGTTGTGAGACATGAAACCAGCATATTACCTGATAATATGGTTACTGTGGGCTCCCTTAATTCTCGTGCTCTGATTTGTGCTGCTCTTTGAAGTGGAGGCAAACTGTGTTGGTTGGCATCACGGTTTTTGAAGGGGATGGCGATTTTCCAGAGCTTGACTTGTTCAGACACGCTTGTCTGGGTAGCTTAAAATAGGAGGCCATCCAACTTTCAAAGCTGTGACTAAATATTCTGCAGCACCCATGCCCTTCCCACCCACTGATCAGCTCTTCACAGATGGATTAATGGGTATCTCTTATTGCTTAAAGATCCTTAAATTACTTAGCTCAACTGACCAACATGCCATCTAGCAGCTTCCGGTATTAAGAGATGTGAACTACCTAGTTCACGATCTAACGTCTGTGGAGGGCTGAGTCCTTGGGTAAAGATGTGGAATGAAACAACGGGAACTCTCTCTGAGGACCTAAGACGCACTGCAGCTCCTCCTCCCCGCTCTGAGGGCACGTGCCCAAGAGCCCTGGGGAGTCCCCCTCCTGCTACCACTTGCACATGTCACTCAGGGAGCACACTGTGATGCGGGAGATCAGACAGAAAGCCTTGACTGGACCACGAGACCCCATGGCTTGAGGTGTGGTAACAACCACCATGATGGAACCATTAATACTTAAGTAGTGGGAAAAATCCCTGTTCCCAGAAGAGATTTTGCGGCTTGAGTCCCCAGTTGGCTCATTTTGTCTGTGATGCTGGCTCTCCACAAGTTGTCTTCTGCCATTCTTGGTGGACCCTGGGAGCTCAGGGCTCCCAAATCATCATTTCTCAGGAACCATGTGAGCTTTCGAATCAGAGTGAGGGGTGGCGATCACCTCAGCACATGACAGCAGACAGTTTAGAGAGCCCCCCATGCACTGGCTGCTTTGGCTGTGGTGGGCAATCTGGAAGCCAGAGATGCTCACCACGACACAGTGATACTGTCATGGCTGGTGAACAAAGGCCAACATGGATGAAAGTAGTTTGGTTTCATTTGCTTGGACAGGTCAGGCCAAAAGTCCAGGCTTTTGACACTCACCTCACAAATATACAGACTAAGTCATTCTAAGAATGTATACATTCTTCGACATCCTTAAGAAATGCAACTTGCAAAAAAAAAAAAAAAAGAAATGTAACTTCTTTTGGCTTTGTTTTTCAGTTCAGAGCTAGAGGACTATAAAAAAGCCACATTTCCTAATGCCTCCATTTTTTAGAGGGTGAAATTCAATCTGATGTCTAGCCATCCTTTATATTTTTAACATAATTTATTTGGGAATATTTCTAACCTTATTTAGCAGACTTACTTAGAAATAACAGCATTTTACCTTTTTGTTGCTCTCAGTTTTCATAACAAAGAGTAACAGATAAACATCTAGGAATCTGGTGCTTTTTGAGGGAAAAAAGAAGATGAAATGAGGGCTGGAAATAGTAAGCAGAAGGTGTTTTTCAAATCAAAGAATCCCTTAGAAAACAAGACAGGGTGAGTGTCAGGGCAAACCAGGCTTACGCCTTAGGAAGCTCCAATCATGTGCATCAGAAAACTGCATTACTGTTGAATTGATTTCTCCCTGAAGCAGAGACTCGATGGGAGCCCATGCTTCCAGCTTTAAAGATATGGTATTTGTGATGCATTTCATGTGGAGTTAAGATAGCTCAGATGGTGTTTGCAGTGGTTTCAGCGAAGCCTAGGACACATCTATCGACTAATGGAACTTGCTTTATTTTTGCCTTTTGACTCATCTGGGGGGTCACTGGCAAAGATACATGTGGCTAGAAAAAAGGCATGTTGTTACTGCTGTGAACGGAATTATGTCTCCCCGCCCCTGTCCCCCAATCTCCTGTGTCGAAGCCCTAATCTCCAATTTGGCTATGTTAGGAGTGGATAAGATTAAATGAAGGTAGAAGAGTGGAGCCCTGGTCCAGGAAGATTAGTGCCATCATTAGAGCATATGAAAGAGAGCCCTCTCTCTCTGCCACGTGGGGACACAGAAGGAGGCTGTCTGCAAGCTGAGAAGAGAGCCCTCACCAGAAACCTCATCAGCGGGCAACTTGGTTGCAGACTTCCAGCCTCCAGAACTGTGAGAAATAACATTCTGTTCTTTAAGTGGCCCAGTCTGTGGTATGTTTTCATGACAGCTCTAGCTGATTAAGATAGTCATTAAAGTGAATTTTTTCCTGAGTTTTGCAATGTGTCTGTACATGTTTAAATATTCATCATGTAGCTTTACATTTACAAACTTTTCTGATATCACTTTTCGTGTTATTTAAGGCAAATGGGCTTTTATACTTCTCCCTAAGAAGGGGATAGTAGGATGAGAGAAATCAAACAGTAGAATCAGGAATCCCCTCCCTATTCTACTCTATCTCTTAGAAATTAGAAATAGACGTGGTTAAATGGAAATGATTTCAGAGGAATAGGCAGTCTGTTCGGAGGCAGATGAGTCAGAAGTTTAAAGTAAATACAAGAAAAATCAGAAAAATTGATTAATATTTTTCTAGAAGTTCTTTCTCATATGCAGGAAACTGTGTGGCTAAGGTTAAGTCAATAGATAAAATAGTAAGGACTCATTTCTATTTCCTCCCCTCTTTTAAGTTTAGAGGAAAGATTCTATATTTGCATGGCCAAGATACCACATATTTTATTCAATCTTGAATTGTCCTTGAAAATTTTTTTTTAATTGTATTCCATTACTATTAGAAACTTTTTGCAAATCAGGCTGTAGCAAAGACTGCTTGCTGGTTGTCCCTTAAAAACCATTCCCCCCTCCTTTGTTGTAATGGAATTTCTAAGTTTTAGTGGCTCCATGTCCACCTTCCAGCAAGTACTCCACCTCCCGGCTTCCCTTGTAGCTAAATATGACCAAGTGACGAAATCTGACCAGTGGATAGGAACAAAAGTGTGCAGCTTCTGGGTCCTGTCCTTAAACAGCAGGACTCTGATCTGTCCCCTCTTCGCTTTCCACCTGCTTGCATGGAGACACACAATTGGTGACTTGGATCATGTGGAAGAAGCAATTCCCCAGGGAAGGCAGAGCCAGTCTCCCACCCATGCTTCTGTGACAAGCACCCTGATCCTGTGTGCTGCGTGAAGGGACATCTGACAAGGCTTTCTGCTGAGAGATGGCCATGGGCGTGTTCATCCAGTTTCCACATGACCTATCATGCCCACACCTGAACCCTAAAATTGACCACCCGACTCACTCCCTTTGCCTGCGGTGTTGCTCAACCAACCTTTCGGGCACATAGATGAAGGCACGGGAGGGTGTGTTCGGCTCACTTCCTCTACCCACTTTAACAATCCTCAAGTTCTCCTGCCTTTGCCTTTGAAACACCTCTCACATTTATCTTTTTCTATTTACGCAAGTACCTAACATTTTAGGGTAGGTCAGTGCACCTCACAGGGCTGGGAAGGTGGTGGATAGAGGGAGGGGGCAAATCAAAATCTCTGATAATTCCAGGTGAGGGTCGATTTTGGAGGGAAAGGCAGTTTGCATGAAGAATTGTTTTATTTCATTATTTTGACTTGGTTTTGTCACCATGCATAATTATTTTTGAAGTGGTGACTAACATCAAAGAAAATTAAAATTGTCATCTCTTCAAACAGAAGTGGGCAGGGCGTGGCCTCCGGGTTAAGAACAGTTGAGAAGCGCAGGCCCATGCTCGTCTCACCTCACCCTGCTTCACGGAGGAGCTTCCAGCTGGTCTCTCGACTTTGGTCCCCTCCCCTGCACCATTTTGTGCTTTGCTTCTGATAACTCTTTCTTCAGCTGCATTTGAAACCTATCACATTGCTGTCTAAGAGCTCAATGACTTCTCGTTGCCAGCCGTTTCCTGGCTGGGGCCCTCGGCTTGGCTTTCAAGCCGGCGGCTCTGATTCTGGAAGCCTCCTTGGCTGAGGTGGCCTGGCATGGGTCTGGTGTCTGCCGTTTAATGTGCCAAGTGAACTTGAGCACCATCACCGAACCTCCCTGAGACCCAGATTCCTCACCTATACATGGGATTCAGTGTAACCTCTCTGCATAGTTTACTGAAAAGAGAAAACGCAGGAAGCAGCCCCTCAGGGTAAATGCTGGGCGCGTCTACCCTTCCTTGTCCGCAGTTGCCAGGTGCGTGTTGGGTCCCAACCTGCTATCTTGCACTAGACCTGCAATATGGCGGATTCTTAGCAGTGTGTGTTCAATAAGGCATTCTTGCCCGGCACTGCCCCGTGGGACCACGCTACCATGAATAGACCACCCCGTGTCCTGCACAGCTTCCCACATAGCGGGTGACCCACTCAGAGTTTGTGCAGAGACGAGTGACTGACTGCAGATCTTATTTCAGCCTGTCTGACCATGACGGTATTTACTGGGCACTGACTCAGTGCCGGCCAATTCTTCCAGTAGCCATCCATCTGTCAGCTCACTGAATCCGCATGACAAAGGAAGGAAATGACAATGTGGCAGGATTGCTGTGAGGGGCCTACGGTCACACAGGCATTGCTGGCTGAGCTAGGAAGTGGGCCTGGCTGTCAGGAGGGGGTGGGGTGGGGGGAGGTTTGCCCTCCGAACCTCCCCACTACCAGAATTTACACGCTTGGGTGGCTTCTGCCTCCAAGCCTTTCTCCCTCTAGGCTCTTCATCTGAGAGGTCGTCCCTCCTGTCATTGCAGGGACGTCCATCCTTTCTACCCCTCCCCCGTCAAGTTCACCTGCAGCCTCATGGACCACACAATGCCTTGCTCTGGTCCTCTAGCTTCAGAGACTCTTTGCTTTCCTGGACTTACACTGCAGGTCTGCTCACCATGGCAGAGCTCCCCAGCTGGAGGAAAAGAAAGGAATCTTTCTTACTACAAGTACTTTGTAGTCTCCAATGGTACCCACCTAGCACAATGTGTATTACATAACAGTGTCCCAAGCCACTGATGGGATGGTAGCCCTGCCCACTGGAGGAGTAAAGCCATGATGACAACAGGGCAGGTCAAGTGTCTAGTCTACTCCAGACCATGTGCTAACTCTCCGTGTCTATCATTTCATTTGATCAACAATCTTATGAGATAGACATGGTTATCTCACCTCACAGAGAGAAAATGGAGGATGTGTGGCTAGTTCCATAGAGTCTGGGTGAGTTCCTAGGAGGCTCTGAATCACAGATCACTTTGCACTGTTGGCGATAGGCAAATACGATTCCTCCCACACTGCCATTTGCAATGATCAGACAAGTTACAAGGTATCAAAGATGTTGAGTTTTTAAAAGAAGCAGTAATTTACCTGCAAGAGTAATTTAAAAATATAAAAATTTAAAAAAAGAGTAATTAAAAAAAGTTGTTTTTTTTTTTTTAATTTTTCTTCAAGAAGAAGGGGTCTTTTGGTTAGTGACAAGATGTTTTCTGCTGTGTGTTCATTAAAAATATGTTCCAAGCACTTGGAAAACATGGGAGAAAATCACAGAGGTACTGTTATGGATGGAAAGAGAACATACTCCAGTAGCTGGGGCAATGCATTCTGTCTAGAAGGTTTGAGACATTTGAAAATGCTGGAAGACAGACACGGGAATGGGACAGAATGGAAAACCACTCAGAAGGGCCATCCCCAAGAATGGCTGAGGATGTCTGCCTCCCACATATAATGCCATGTGGATGAAGGCTTCACTTCTTGTTCATAAGACTAGATTTCTTATTCAAGTGGACAGTTGGGGACTTTCTAAGACTATTGTGTTAATTTCCACCTAAATGCCAAAGTTCTGGAAAAAGACATAAGTCCTAATTGATCCTTTGTGCACTTCTGGAATGAAGACTATTTTATCACTACCCTATAGTGGAGGCCACATTATAATCTCCTATAGATGTCCACAATTTTTGGAAATTGTCAAGCCACTCCACTTTTCACTCAAGATCCCCTGAAAAATAAGACACAATCAATAAAGTCTTTTTTTAAAATTATATTTATTTATTTGACAGAGAGAGAAATCACAAGTAGGTAGAGAGAGAGTGGGGGAAGCAGGCTCCCCGCTGAGCAGAGAGCCCAATGTGGGGCTCGATCCCAGGACTCTGAGATCATGGCCTGAGCCGAAGGCAGAGACTTGACCCACTGAGCCACCCAGGCGCCCCACAATCAATAAAGTCTTAAATGCATCTGACATTACAGCATAAAATTTAACCAAGATCCGCAGTAATTATTTAGAGATACTGACTGCCCTTGGAGCCAAACCATATCTTACATTCATTTAACATACTGCTTGCTGTTTAGATGTCTTAGAAAAACTCATTTGAAATCAGCCTCTTGCAGAGAAAAACGAAGCTTAACTAATATAACTCAGTAAGTTGGAAATGTATTGTGCATTTTTATTTCAAAAATAGTAATAAAGCCTTCGGTATCTTTATCATATCCCTGAACCATATAGCATTTAATTAGTGGGGGAACAAATCATATGAACAAGGACAAACATATCTTGTTTTTTACTAATTGTAAAACCTACATCCACTTCATGATAAGAATGACTACTGTTTTTTGAGAAGAACTCATTTTCTCTTCTGAAGATTTGTATTAATTTTCTAACGTTTAAAAATAACTCATTACTATTGAGGTTTTGAAATAATTTTTGGGAATATGAAGGACAAGTCATGGACCCATAGAATCACATGGTGGGTGGGATTCTTGAGAATTTGTCGTCTTTAAGCTCATAGGCTTACAGGAGGCCCACAGGAATGTCTTCCCTCAATGACAAGGATCCATATTTTATTGAGAAACCTCCGGAAGAAATGCTGTTGTCTTCTCATACACCTATCAAAATGAGTCATAATCTCCAAAATGACATTCAAAGCTTTGAAAAGTCTGTGTTTAATTGACTTTCTGTTTTGCTCATTAATAAGCTCAATTCTAGTTCCTTGGGTCATTTTAGAATTTGAACAACAACAAAAATATATATATATATCTGTGCAACTGATAATTTGAGTGGTTCCCTTTGGATGCTTCCCAGAAAATCTTGGTTTATAGGCCTATGTCAAGGGTTTATTTGTAACTTCAAATAATTAAATTATTATACAAAGCTCTACGAATTAAGTCATCATAGGGCTCGCTTAGTTCCTAGTCCCAAATTTCAGTTCTTGAGATTGCAATTGGCATAATTCGACATTGGCCCTGGATTTCAGTGACCTTAAAAAAAAAAATGATGAATGGTAATTTATCCTCCGGAAAGTCTCACTGTGGTGTTTACCCCCATTTGCTTTGTGCGTGGGTTCAGTATGGCTGTTAAAAACAAAGTGCCTTCAATCATCTGGGAAGTAGGTCTTTTCCTGCCTGAACTCACTTCTGAAGGCCTTGGAGACTGAGCCACGCCCTCACACACTTGCTGTTAGAGTTCTCATAAGGTCGGCCAGGAAGTGACTGGAGCCCATTGTTTTGCGTGTTTGATTTGCACTGCACTCAAACTCGAACCCAGGTTTCTGAGAGCTGTGACCTCATGTTAATGGACTTACCTTCCAGGATGGAAGCCCCAGTGATTCCCAGCAGCCACAGGACCCCCCCACCTCCCATCTCTACACCGGAGCTCTGGGTCACCTACCTCAGGGACTCACTGAGTGATGTCACCTGTTCCTTGATAGGTGGGTCATGATTTCCTCTGGAGAGTCTTTACTCTGTTTCCAGACATTCTTCAGCAACAAGGGCTAGCAAGTCAGCCTCCAGGGGGGCCCACTCGCAGCTGAAGGCGAGAGCAGCTGTCCTCGCTGTTCATTTTGCTCACACCACAGCAGAAGACAAAAGCAGAGTATCAGAATATGGCTTCTCTGATCAAGGCATTGAGAAGCCTGGACACCAGAAACTCTTAGAGGGGTATCTGGGGGGCTCAGTTGGTTAAGTGTCTGCCTTTGGCTCTGGTCATGATCCCAGGTCCTAGGACCGAGCCCGGGGTCAGTCTCCCTGCTCAGCGAGGGGCCTGCTTCTCCCTCTCCCGCTCCCCCCCACTTATGCACTCTCTCTCTCTCAGAGAAATAAAGTCTTAAAAAAAAAAAAGCCAAGAAACTCTTACTTTATTCAGTAGTTACATAACACAATTGTGAGTTTGCTGGGAAAGTTTATAAGCCGTGGCCTACACTTTGGTTTTGAAAATTCCATAGTCAACTGTCTTCAGCAAATATCTACCTACCAGCGCCAAATTCAGGGTTGGAAATGGAGTCCTTAAACGTGGTTAAGAAGTATTATCAAATATTACAGACTGACCCTGTTACTCTCCAATTAAAGAAATGGAAGAATCCTCGTTTAGCTGCTTGCCTTCCCAGGAGTGGTGATGAAGGCAGTGGTCCTCAGCCCCCCACGTGACACCACCACCCAATCCTCCTGAACAGGGAAATGTATCAGGATTCTGAGGCACAGGAGAAGTTTGAAATCTGTGATATCTCCTGGAGAACGCGTGCGCCATCAGTGCGGTGATGAGATGTATTAACACACGAGCCCCAGCTTCCTTCACTCTTCTCACTTGAGTTTAGTTTTGCCCATTGGCTTCTTCCTTCTCCCCGGCCCTTGGGAGAGATTTCTGGCTTCACCAGCTCTGCTCCCATCCTCATTGTGATTTACGGAAAAGCTGAGAATGCACACCGGAGGGTGAAAAGGAAAGGAAGGACTTTCGCTCATTGGGGCAGTTTCTTGAGTCTCCGATGCTGCTGAGAATCAGGGTAAAGAAGAGAAAATGAAAACACAAGTCAAAGAGGCTGAATTGATCTCCACGATACAGAGCAGAGAGCGGGAAGGGGAGGGATAAAGACAAAGACCATTTTCAACAGTGAGAGATTGGATCAGGAGGCCTCTGCTGGATGTGCGGGTGCTGGGGAGACAGGAAAAGGAATCTTAGTAAGTACTGCTGTGGGTCTTACCCGGATTTCCATAAGAGGATTTGAGAAATACAAGTATACATGAGAATAGCTCCTCCATTTGCTTCATCGGCTGGACTGTTTCTCTGAATGTGACACTGTCTCGAGGGGACCTGGCCTTTGGTGACACATGGCACTGAGCCAAGTCTCTAGCTACTGTACACACAGGCGCCGTCTTCCTCTTCCTCTTCCCTTCTCCCACCCACTCACACCTGCGTTGAGGTATAAAAGGGTCCTACTCTTACTGACATATCTTTCCTGCTGTAGGCTATTACCTCTTTCCACTTTCATGATCAGTCTAGGTCCAGGTTAAATTCTTTGTCTGATGGCCCTGAAGTGAGGACCAAGTGGACCAAGGCATACCGTAGAGGCTGCCCCTGCTTCCCCAAAGACAGCTGTGTCCATCTTTATGCCCAGATGTCAGCCCTTGCATTTTGGAGATCGGGACACAATGGGCTCCATGGCCCAAGGAAGTCCAAAGCCCTCCTGCAGATCCTGAGTTCCAATGGCTTTCTCTGGCCTCTGGAGTCCTGTTGGTCCCCACATTACTTTCTTGAGCAACATTGGCCAAATGCCAAGTTAAGATCTTTGGTTGGTTTCCCGTGTTGGTTTCCAGTGTAAACCTACTCATGCCAAATACTTTTAGAATTACGAATTATTATTTAACATGTATTTCACTGAAGATTTTGGGTTGGGGGGAAAGGATCGAAGACACACCCCACAGCTTCCCCACCACCGTTTTTCTGGTTCCATTTTCTTCTCTGAAAAGAGAGCTCTTTCTCTCTCTTACCCCTGAATTTGCCTTTTCTCTTCCAGCCTCAGGCTTAGCAGTTTGTGCCTGTCTTTCAAAGTTTGACCCTGTCCGTGGGGTTCTTGTCCGGCCACACTAGCAGCTTTATCAAAGCTGTTTCTTCTGAAAACATTCAGGGCTCCTTCCTCACAGGCATTCTGCCAGACCCCATCTTTTCACTTCCCCCCAGACAGAGGGCAGGTCATGAAAGTGAGCACACGGGGGCGGGGCAGATGGAGCCAGGCTTCAGGGCTTGCCGAGGGACTACCTTCCCTTCTCTGTATCCCAGATTCCTCTTTTGGAAAATGGTGGAAGGTACTAGATCACCTCCAAGTTCTCACCCAGCTCAAAACAGCTGTGATTCTGATCAAGGGTGTAAGGAAGGAGAAGGAAGCAGGAACTTCAGGTGCAGAAAGGCTGGGGGTAGAACCAGTGGAGAGAAGATGCACATGGTGGGGTGGGGGTGAGGTGGGTCCTTCGCCCGTGGCCTTCCTGGCTGATATGCGTGCGGACTCACTGGCAGCTGTGTTCCAGCTGGGGTAGCTGCGAGTTCCAGTAATGGATTTCCTCAAAGCACAGCCCTGGACCATTGCCCCAGATTTCCACACCTCAGGGGACAGTGTGGGCTGCCAGCACCCACTGGTATTCAGGTAAGTATAAAAACATCCAATCCCCCCCACCGCATAACGATCAGGCAAGAAGCATCAGTGGTGAACAATTTAGTCAAAGATTCAGGCAGGGATAATTGGAAGATTTTAGAGTTTTGAAAGGCTTCAGAAAAGAGAAGAAAGATATTTGATGATTCTAAAAGTAGCTCTAAGTTTTTCTTTCATCTCCCTATTGGCTTTATTTTTTTAGGTGCACTAGGGAAGAAAAGAACATGTCTGCCAAGGAAGATTGGACATAAAAGGCCTTTTCATGGAAGACTCTAGATCAACGGAGCCTGCTTTTGTTTTATGAAAAGTATCCAGTGTGTTTAGGGGGACAGTGAAAGGAATTCAGGGCTTCAGATGAAAACATTCTTCTCATAAATCTGTCTGGGGGGATGTAGCATTGGGCTGAGCAGCCAGTGTCCGTGGGATCTTGGGAAATTTATGGAAGCTCCTTCAGCCTCATCTGTGAAATGTGGAGAACAAGAGAGACTACCGTGTTGGGTTGCTGAGGAGTTTTGATGATTTAATCTACACAAAATGCCTAGAACGTGGGGCCCCTGGGTGGCTCAGTGGGTTAAAGCCTCTGCCTTTGGCTCAGGTTATGATCTCAGGGTCCTGGGATCGAGCCCCGAGTCAGGCTCTCTGCTCGGCAGAGAGCCTGCTTCCTCCTCTTTCTGCCTGCCTCTCTGCCTACTTGTGATCTCTGTCTGTGAAATAAATAAATAAAATCTTAAAACAAAAACAAAAACAAAAAAAACCAAAATGCCCAGAACAGGAGTTGGCGTTTCTCGAGCACTCGGTCTACGGCAGGCAGAGCTCTTAGCCTTTGTTTAGCTGAAGCACATGAACAGACCTCACAGTAAGCTCCCAGTCTGTCCCTGTTTCATCCCAACTGTCTAGGAAAGAGCAGAGAGAATTCGACTCCCATCAGTGTTCACCTCCAGTATGTACAGACCCTCTTCAAGCCCGGCCCCGTGTGGTCCGGAGGGTAAATTCATCCCAGCGCCTTCATCGCCCTGTTCCAGGCAGCCCCCAGCATGAGAGAGTCCAGTTCTCCAGCCCCACTGCTTAGATCAGGGCAGAGTCAGCTTTGAATCCCTCCTGCCTCTGCCCGGAATGACCATAGCTTCCAGCAAGTTGCCTCTTTCGTCTAAGCTCCTGGAAAATGGGGATCATGTCAGATCTCACAGGGGGGTTGTATAGACAAAGAGATCACAGATGACCATCAGGCTGTACAGGGCCTGGCCATCGCAAGGGCTCCAGTTGGAGTCACCTTTTCACTTTTATTACTACTATTATATATTATCGTTATTATGTATTATATTTTATTTTTATTATTATGTATCACATATTATATGTATTATAATTACATATATTGTAATTATTACATTATGTATTTATTACATATTATAAGCATTATATGTATAATTATATTTATTGTATATTTTAATAATACACTATATTTTAATTATATATTATTATATAGTATACATTATATTATATATAATATACCTATATTATATATAATATAGATTACATATATTATATATTATATTATGTTATAATATATAAAATTAACTATAGGTGATGCTGTATTTGTTCTGTATTATGGGGCTGTGGAGGGCAGGTGCACCTCTTATTCCTCCAGAGCCTCCCCTGATTCTTCAGCTTTGTCTTTTGATGCTAACAGCACCCCAGCAACAGGAAATTGCCCTGAAGTTTTAGAAATAGTTCTGGTATGAAGACCATTGCTTTTTTCCATTTTGCCTGAAGACATTTATCCAGGTTCTTTTTGGCCACCTACTGGCCATGTGACCTTGTAAAGTGACACAATCTTTCTGAACCTCAGGGACATATAGGGACAATGTAATCACCTTCATAGCTTTGTGCTAAGGAGTAAAAGAGATGTTTGAGCAAGTGCCTGGTAAAGCATCACGCGATGTAAAAATATTCTACGTTGTCACTACAACATGGCACCCCCTAGTTCTTTTCCCTAAATATCTCCAGTGTTATACGTATTTCACAAGTAAATGTAAACCAGTTGATATGGGATATTGCATAGTTACTTGAAAGCAGTGGCTGAGCTTGGTTAAATTCCTCTCTGTCTTAGCTTGGAAGGGAGAGCAGTGGATCTGGATCCTCCCCAGTTTGGGGGCCTGGCCAGGAGTCCAATCCATCAGCTTCCAGGGAAAACTTTTGCAACAGCATTATTCATTCATTTGGAACTCTAATGAGCTTTCAGTTTGAGCAGCAAATGAAACAGGCCAAAAGGCTGAAGTTACAAAAATGGAGCCAAGTCTCTTCCCAAAGATCTTTCCTCTTTTCTTGGCCCCACCATACCCAGGCTTTCTGGCACCTCCAGGCCATGGCAAAGGCACACTGATTCCTGGTAAAGGGTTTGGGAACTGCCATAGCCTTGCCTCCCATGCCTTTGAGGGGATGCTCTGGGGTGGGAGGAAGGAGGGGCCTTCTTGCAGCTGCAGGGCAGAGCTGATTTTCTGGAAAGGCTGGGACCATCTTCTCTGGATCCTACAGAAGGGCTCCGGCATGATGCTGAAAAGGTACAGTTCAAGGATAAAGAAATATCAAAATTTGGGGGTGGGGGGGTGTCAAAGGAACCAGGGAAGCAGAATTGTAGTTAAAATGCTTTGTGATCATTTATTTTTCTTCTTTCCAATTTAATTGGGTGAAATAATTCCTAGTACCCATTACATCCAAAGAGTCCTAGGAAAAATATAAAAGAAAATGGTGCTTTACTTTCAAATAAATTCCAAAGTCATCTCTCTGCCTCAGGCTCTCAAAAGACAGCGGTTGAGGAACTCTGGGATCAGCAGGAGCTGTGACCCTGTGGATGGAAACAAAAGTTTTCTTCCAGATGAACACTTTTTAAACAAAAAATGGTATTCCCATCATCAGCGGGTAACTCCTCGATAAACCACGGCCTCCTGACCCTTCATACTTGAAGGAAATTCTACTTAGGACATCTTAGTTTAATTCACCCTTTACTTCTGTTTATGCTTTGTTGAGACCTAGGCACCCGCATGGGTCCCAACCACCATCATTGCCTTGGATTTCCGTGATTGTGTTGGTTGATGTTAAACTGGCGTCAGTCATACGTGATTAAAGTAACAACATGGAACTCTTCATCAGATATTCCTTCAAATTATCCACAAACTTAATTCTCCTGCTGGCTCCTAAAAATATGGCATTAAATTTAGGGTGCCTCGCTGTTCTTGTAGAAAATCTTATGAAGAGTTCCATGTTGTTACTTTAATCTTATAGAACTTTGATCAGTCCTAATCCTGCTACAGTGACTTCACATGGGTAAACCAACTCAAGTTTATTTTCAAATAAGGCAGATGGCAATCCCTACGTATATGCTTACATAGACAAGGTTCTAAATGAGCACACACCGATGGGCCAACGACTCAAGGAAGGGGTTCTTAGGAAAGATGGTTACTCTTCCATCATCACCAATGCTTCTGCCTTCTTACTGGGAGACACTCTTTGGGATTCCATAGCACCTGCCATGTTGCTAAATCTATGTGCTCCTTGATAGATTTATTGATTAAAATAATGAGTAATGGGTCCCATCAAGGGTTTCCCAATAGTGTTGTCATGTGATAGAATGGGAGAAGGGAGGCATACATACTTCCTGCTAACAGGACCACTGATAGCAGGTCCAGCCTGAAAAGCCACTAAAGGAAGTGACAGTCGTGAAGACAGATAACAAAAGCCCAGAAAAATGTTTTTTGGTAGGACCTCAGAGGATAAGATGCGATGAGGAGAAAGGGCACATTTTGGCTTCAGCAAGAAGTAATTTGAAAGATGACCCTGTGAGTTTCTTTTCAATCAGTGGGCTTTGAGCTCTGGGAGGAAACACTTGGAGATAGAGAGCAGGACTTCTCAGAAGACACTGAGCTGCTTGACAAATGCCATGATGAAGAGGCAACTGTTGAGACCATGAAAAGCAGGGCTTAGAAATCCAATTCCATAACCCATTAGCTCTGTGACCTTGGCCAGATTATCTGACCTCTCCAAGCTTCCTTCTCCTTCTCAGTGACTCACACAGATGGCTCACGTATGAACACAAATGCCCCAGTCTTCCCCCAGGGGAGCTTCCTGTGAGGCAGTGTGGTGATCCTGTCCATCCAGTTCCCCTCCCTGGGGAGGATTACAGGTTCCCACTCCATTGACGGTGAGGTTGGCCATATGACTTTCTTGGACCTCTGAAGTGTGAACAGCCATGCCTGGGGCTGCTTTAGGCAGACACCTGAAGACTCAGTGAAGGCTCTGCCCTATCCCTCGTGTCTTTGCCATGAAGACTGGTAACATTCCAGTGGGTGGCTGCTCCCTCAGCCTGGGTCCCAGAGCAGGGACACCACGCCACTGAGATCTGGGAGTTGTTATTGTGGTACAAAAATGAAGTTAACCTGATTGATATAGGGCCACTTAAATTTAGGAAAACTTTTATAACTCACCTTTGCCTATTTGTAACATGATATGAAGCATTCCCTCGTGGGTTATATTACAGACCTGGAATTAAGAGTCTATCGATGCCCCATGCTTCGTTTGGTAGGCTACAAGTGCTCTTATGCTATGGTCTGAATATTTGTGTCATCTCAAATTCACATATGAAATACTAAGCCCTAGTGTGACTGTATTCGGAGGTGGGCCCTTGGGAGACCAGGTCATGAGCATAGAGCCTTTGTGAATGGGTTCATTGCCTTTATAAAAGATGCTCCAGAGAGATCTTTGGCTCCTTCTTCCATGTGAGGATACAATGGGAAGTCTAAGACCCAGAAGAGGACCCTCTCCTGACCATGCTGGTGACCTAATCTCGGACTTCCATCTTCTGGAACGATGAGAAATACATTTCTGTTGTTTGGCAGCTGCCCACTCTGTGACAGTTTGTTATAGCCGCCCCAGCAGATGAATACAAATTATGTGTTTTGAGGAGAAGTGGATGTTTCTCCAGACTATTTACTAAAAATTGAATTTAAACATGTTCTGAAGGATTGAGAGATCCTGAGATGTTTATCTAATTGCCAGTACTACATTCTTTCCCCTGTTTTTCAAAGCATTTCTTACTCAAATCTGTTTTCAGAGGTGACCAAAGATTTCGTTACTTTCACCTAACTTCATGCTTGTTTCAGTGTATTAAATACTCCTTCATCTCTCACCTTGAGCATCATTGCAAAGAATCTCCTATCTGTAAAATCTTGCCATCTGCCCCAACTTAGAAGCCTTCTTTCATGATATCTATGCTCCTTTCTCCTCAGCATTTATCTCAATTGGATGATATCATTGGCATCATTATAGCATCTGTTTCTTCCCCATTGGACTGAAAACTCCCCCAAACCAGGGAAAGCGTCTAATTCTACAGATTAGCGTGTACAGGGTCTTAGCCCCACACCTAGGCACTTAGTAAGTGCTCAGTAAATCTCAATCTATGGGGTTTTTTGGAATGGCTTATAAAAATTAAAATCTTGCTCCATGAGGAGGGGCTGGGTTTAAAAAGTCAAAGTAAAAAAGTGGGGGAGGAGGTCCAAGTATTTACTCAGGAAATAAGTAGTATCTCTCAAACCAAAGTTGTAGGTTCTCCTCTCTTCTCCTTGACACAGAAGTCTTATTAAGGGTGTTGATAGATGTGAAGGTTTATTTTGTTCTTTTCTGAGAGCCTGGCACTTCGTTAGAAGAATAACTGAACCATGTAATTAGCTTACACAAACTGTTGCCATGAATATTGCTTTAAGTTGAAGTAATTTTATAAAACAGACTTGGAAATGGCGTTTCCATGCATGCAGAATTTTGTGTTCATAAAACCCACGCAGGAGGGGTGACAGTGGCAAACAGGAGCCACAACTTATTTTGGAAGATGTTGACTGGCAGAGGAAAGGACGTCTCTTTTGTGGGAGGGTATTCATGGAACGTTCTCAGGCACAATAGCACATGGACACAAATCAGGGAGCCTGTACCTAACTCTCCTGGGAGGTGGGTGAATTTATGGAACAAAGCTGGGTCATCCCAGAAGGATTTTACCTTTGTGAGCTTGGGAATGAAATCCATCAGCAGTGAAGTCTCCAAAGGCTTGGTCTAGTCCTTGATGATACTGAAAAGACTGTTCACAAAACCAAAGCTTTTCTAAGGGCCAGGGAGAAAGAAAACAAGAGTGGTCACCCTTCCAAGGGTAAGGAGTCAAAAATTGATGAGCTTCGGGTATCACTCTTAGAGATGTTTTCCATTTCGAACTTATCTCCTGGCAAAATTCAAAGACTTCTTTTTCTCCGCTCTCCAATATATATTTTCTTATCAGTGTATCTTACATATAAATTATTGTTGGTATCTCTCTTCCTTTTTAGAAGAAAGATATTATTTATTTATAATATATGTGAGAAGAGGACATTTATTTGAAAATAAATATTTATGAAGATGATGAAGATTTTTTTTTAGAAAAGATTTTATTTATTTATTTGACACAGACAGAGATCAAAAGTAGGCAGAGAGGCAGGCAGAGAGAGGAGGTGAAGCAGACTCCCTGCTGAGCAGAGAGCCCGATGCTGGACTCAATCCCAGGACCTTGAGATCATGACCTGAGCCGAAGGCAGAGGCTTAACCCACTGAGCCACCCAGGCCCCCCATAATGGAGATCTTAAGAATGTGTTCAACTTGGGGCACCTGGATGGCTCAGTGGGTTAAAGCCTCTGCCTTCAGCTCAGGTCATGATCCCACGGTCCTGGGACCGAGCCCCACATTGGGCTTTCTATTTGGCAGGGAGCCTGCTTCCTCCTCTCTCTGTACCTGCCTCTGCCTACTTATGATCTCTGTCTGTGAAATAAATAAATAAAATCTGAAAAAAAAAAAAAAAAAAAGAATGTGTTCAACTTTTTTTTTTTTTTTTAATTCAGCATTACTTATTGAGGAAATTCATATATTTCACATTGCTTCTTGAGCCCTCCCAGGCCCACCAGGCACTGTTTTAGGTCTTCTGAATACAGCACTAAACCAGGTGGGTTCCTGAGTAGATTCTAGAAGATGTTCAGAGCTTGTATCATAGAAAAAATATGGAATGCTTCACAGATTTGTGCCTCATCTTCGTGCCGGGGCCATACTAGTCTTTTCTGTATGTTTCTAGTTTTAGTATGTGTGCCACTGAAGCAAACACTACGTTTACTTCTTAAATGACCACAGAAAGACGGAAAATGTTCCCGAAGGCCCGGTAGTATCTGCAATCTATCGGAAAGATGTCAATGGACATTTAGATTTCCTGCTTATTAATCCGAACTCCTCATCACGACATTGTATGGGGATGGAATATAGAACAGAAGCCACAGGAATAGAATAAGCGTACATTTTTATGATCCTCTGGTGAATTTGAAAACATGGCTACTGGAGATACCCACTGTGACTCATCTGACTCAACTCCTCTAGGTTTGTAAAAAGTCTCCATACAGCCACATCCAGGAGATATTCATGAGTTTGTAGATATTTTAATGTATTCATGAAGATCTTTAAAAAAAAAATGCAATTACTTTCTATTTTCCAATTTTGAAACTTGCCCTTTGCAAGAACATTAAACATCAACCTCCTGAGTATAACTTTAGAAGACAATGTAGAAATCAGTATTTTCAAGGTTTAAGAATTTTCCTAAATACAAATGATGACATTTAAGCCCCATAGGACAAATGGGAAATGAGCTGTTCTGTACAAAGTCGCTGTTGCTTGTGTGAGCCCTCACAGATGCTTGTCGGACATAATCTGTTCAAATGGGCTTTCTCAGCTTCACGGGGCCAGAGAAATCTCAAGGGTTCTTTTCCTGCCAATGGCACTAACTTAAGAACGAAACAACATTCATAATGAGTTCCCATTTACTTCTTCCTCTGCAAAAGACCCAAATATCTTGTACATTCAAAAAATTTAAAATAGACAACTAATGAGTTAGTATCTGATAACTGGGAAGATGCTTAGATTTGGATAAAGGCATTAAATATTGGTGAAACATTAAAGGAGTCTTTATGTTTTTATTACTTGATCTGATTCCTTTATCAACAGGAAAACTGCAGCAAGTCAAGAAGGAACTGTAATTCTCACAGATAACTTGCCCTCGTTCTATAAACTAGAGATCGATTTTTTGGAACAGGCCTACTTTGTAGAAATACGATGAACATTCAAAGGGACTAATTATTTCAGGGAGTTTAGGTGTAAAAAAGCTGGACTTTAGACCACCAATCTTCTCCAGTTTCCATTTCCATATGTTAATGCAGTGAATGTTTCTAGAACTTGCATCAGAACCACCTAGAGACCTCATTAAGTCAAAGATTAGTGTCAATCCCCTAAATTTCTGACTCATAGGTCTCTGATAGGGTCTGAGAATATTCTTTTTTCTCCTTTTTTCTTTCTTTCCTTTTTTTTTTTTTTTTTTAAAGTAGGCTCCATGCTGGGCATGGAGCCCACTGCAGGGCTTGAACTCATGACCCAAGATAAAGACCTGAGCTGAGATCAAGAGTTGAATGCTTCACTGAAGGAGCCACCAAGATGCCCTGAGAGTATGCATTTCTAGTAAGTTCCCAAGTAATTCTGATGCTGCTGGTCTAAGGACCCCACTCTGAGAACCACTGACTTAGAGCTTCCCCAAATCCCGTGTACAGACATCCTTCATTTTCTTGCACTTCACAGATACCCAGTTTTTACAAATTGAAGTTTTGTGGCAACCCCGTGTCGAGCAAGCCTCTTGGTGCCATTTTCCAAGGGTATTGACTCACTTCATGTCTCTGTGTCACATTTTCACAATTCTCATATTTCAGATTTTTTCATTATTATTTATTTGTTATGGTGATCGGTGATCAACGATCTTTCATGCTACTATTGTAACTGTTGTAGGGCTCTGCAAACAGCGCCCATAGAAGATGGTGAACTTAACTGATGGATGTTGGGTGTGTGTTCTGATTGCTCCACTAACCAGCCATTGCCCATCTCTCTCTCTCCCTCTCCTCAGGCCTCCCTATTCCTTGAGACAATATTGAAATTAGGCCAATTAATAATCTTACAATGGCCTTTAAGTGTTCAAGTGAAAGGAAGAATCAACCGATGTGACAAACTTCATTGTTGTCTTACCTGAAGAAATTGCCACAGTCACCTCAACCTTCAGCACCCAGCACCCCAGTCAGTCAGCGGCCATCCACACTGAGGCAAGACCCACTGCCAGCAAACGGGTTCTGACATACTGAAAGCTCAGAGGGTGGTTAGCATTTTTCAGCAATAAAGTATTTTGAAATTAAGATATGACCATTGTTTTTTAGATTGCACACTTCTATTGCACACTTGATGGACATATATTATAGTGTCAAGATAATTTTATATGTACTGGGAAACCAAAAAATTCATTTGACCTGCTTTATTGCGATACTCACTTTGTGGTGGAGGTCGGGAACTGAGCCTGCAATCTCTCTGAGGTTTGCCTGGCGTACTGGTTGTCTGGAAATCTGGCAATATCCATGTATTTATCCAAATATTTGAACATCATTGTAAGAATTGGAAGTCATGGCTACAGATAAGTAGGGAAAATTTAGAAGAAATACTGTTTTTGTTATAAGATTTTTTGCTCTGTAGAAAATCTGTCCATTTAAAAAGATACCCAGTCCTCTGGTTTATTTATTTTACTGCTTGACTTACAAAATATAACCAACTTTGGGAAACTTGCATTGATTGTATGAAGACTGATACATAATACTGTACATACACAGTGACACTTGAAAATCAATAAACTCAAATTGGCTTTTCTAAAAAACAAAATAAAACAAAACAAAACAGAAAATGCTAGTTTAAAAAGCTTGTACAGCTTACAGTGGGATTTAAAAATTCTTATGCTGTTTAATTGGGCAGGGGAGGTAGTACAGGCTAGGGGGTTAGTGCTCTGTTGTGAACGTCTATTGGATACCACCCAACTTCAGTCTTCCCCGTCCATAATATCTTCTGCTTTTCCCCTCAGTATCTACTCTTCCCCATGCCTTGCATGTGCTGTGAGCCAAGGTGTCCTTACTCGTAGAGATGGGCCTTGATTGCCTTAAACCAATTAGCACTTTCCTTCCTTATTAGAGTAGTTGATTCAGGGGAGGGCATGTGACTGAAGCCAGTGCAATGAACATGAACATCATGACATTGGCTATGAGTGCTGAGAAGTGATCTCTCTCTCTCTGGTCTCAAGGACATCAGCCATCCTGTGACTACAACAGAAGTCCACTATAGGATAGGGCTGACGCCATGGAAGGCAGGGGTAAATATGGAAAAAAAAATTTGTCCTCAGTGTTGAGTCCTTTGATGGAGCCAACCTTGAAGTTCCTCCCACCTGTGGACTCCACAGCCACATTGCCCACTAAAATCCTGCATCACTTAAACTCATTTTCTGCATCCTAATACATATTGTCTCTAATTCTCAATTTCCTGAGTCTTTGTGGTCTAAATTTTGCTGGTAGAGTACCTAACATTGTGATCGATACAATCAATACTACTTACAGAAGATATTAATTGACAGGTGCATAGCACCTGATAGATTTCAAAGAAAAAGGATCTGATTATTGCAGTGATGAGATGGTATGAGAGAGCCGGAGATGGTGTTGTCATCCCTGTTTTATAGCTTAGCACAGGAATTGTTAAATGACAGCTTGTGGGATCAACCAGGCCTGCTACCCAAATAATGTTTTATTGTAATATGCCAATGTACCACATTATTTCTCTCTCTCTTTTTATCACAAATTATCTATAGCTTCTTTGGTGCTGCAGCAGAAGAGCTGAGTAGTTCCAATAAGGACCACATGGCCTGCAAAGCCGAAAATATTTACAGTCTGGACCTATACGGAAATGTCTGCCAAACCCTGGTTTAGGAAATGGAGAACTAGACTTTCCCAAAGTCAAAGTCAGAGGCAGATTCAGACCTTGAACCCAAGTTTCCCAACCCAGCATTTTTCCTATTTAGAGAGTAGCCAGAGTTTGAATGCCTTGTGGGCAGAGACAGCCTTGAGGCGATGTGCCTCTTCTTCCCTGTGGTCTTGGAAGGCGGCTGCTCCCTTCCCATTCTTTGCCCCATGGTTCTTGGGTGAGGAACTCTGCTCAGAACTGCGCTACCTCAGGGGCACTTCCCCGGGCATTTCCCTGGCAGACATCACGAATATGCTGTGTAAGCCAAGACCACTATATGACGTGGGAATGGTTGTCCCAGACATCTGTGAGGGCGGCCGATGGCTGATAAGAATTAGCATTTGTGAGGCACCTGGGTGGTTAAGTGTCAGCCTTGGGCTCAGGTCGTGATCCCAGGATCCTAGGATCCAGCTCCCTGGGGAACCTGCTTCTCAGTCTCCCTCTGTGTGCCGCTTTCCTTGCTTGTACTCTCTCTTTGTCCAATAAATAAAATCTCAAAAAAAAAAAAAAATGAAAAGAAAAGAAAAGAAAAAAAAAAAAAGCAAGCAAGCAAGCAAGCAAAAAAATAAAAAAAGCGTTCTCTTGGCATTGTTCATGAGGGAATGAGAGCTCCAAAAAAGGGAGCTGACCAAAGGTGGGACTGATGCTTTCAGGATGTTTGTGAACTCCTTGACCCTAGTAGTGTGTGAACACGGGTGAGGATAAGGTAGAAGAGGATTCAGACATCAAATGGGGAGCTGGACTAGTTTACTTAGAAGATCTTACCCAAACCTGAGAGGCCATGTTTTTAAAAGAGAACAAAGAGACAACTAAGCAACAGATAAACACAAAAAGTAAGTGTAATTTTCTTAAAATCCCCTGAAAGAAGGGACCCTCTCTTCAACTTCCTTTTTTTCCTTTCTTTCTTTCTTTCTTTCTTTCTTTCTTTCTTTCTTTCTTTCTTTCTTTCTTTCTTTCTTTCTTT